CGACATGTAATATGGTTGGTCTTAGTGACTTGCGGCGTCTAGCCTGCGACCGTGCGTTCACGCAAGTGCTGAAACCATGAACCGGACTGGAAAAATGCTTGAGCGTTCAGACGGAAACGCAACGCGCCTTTCTGGTCCGGCCGTGCTATAGAACTTAGATGTAATATTCTTGCGCACATTGTTGTCGAAGCGGTTTAGAACAGCAGAGAAACAACCAGGCTTCACACAATGCGAACAGTGTAACGAGTGGGTCATCCGATGCTCCAACCCACTACAAAAGCGTGTTTTTGATCACCTCTTATAACTGTGGCACAAACCCACTTCAGGCATAATTCCTTCTTGTCTCTGTGTCGTCGTTTTGTTCTCGCGCTATAACTATCGTCATGCCATACCAACTAGCCCAAGCTGCCACACTTCCTCATTGTCGTCAGGCACTGCAGGAACAATTCCTCGCAATAATTTAGCGGATAGCACGCTTCTCAGAAGAATGACGAGGAATAGCATAGCAAATGCCGGCCCTCTCTTCTAAAATGTTTATTATTGATGCCGTAGTGATTACCCAGCAAGTGTGCTTGCAGGTGAGACCCAATTAATGTTAAGAGAAAGCTCTTAAAGGCCGCTCTTCTAGCTTTCGCTGTGACTGTGCTGCACGAGCCTTCCGCGCAGGCCTGGTTTTTTTTTTCCCAAGGAAGTACATGAACTTTGGGGAATAAGAAAATAATCGTAAGAAAAACCAGATTTTATATTCCAGAACACTAGAGGAATATGTACTGGGAACGCGTGGCAGTAATTAAATTAAAAAGCATTTTGGTGAGACACTTCCAAAATGTGTGAAAACCGTACGATTTGAATATATTCAATGAATTTAGGTATAGTGACTATAAAATTGCGTTCACGCAAAACAATGACGGAAAAGAGCTCGCGCAATCGTTAGGCGTGGTCTTTGGCGTCATTTTTTATGAAGCCCTGGGGCACTCTCCCAAAAAGCCATGAAATGATTTCAGTAAAGAAGATTATTGCCTCACGAATTGACCACCACAATAAGTTCTAAACTCCGACCAGTGCGAGCGGAGTTACACGGATTTGTCGCTCGCTGCATTCTCTCTTCTCTCGTCCCGACGAAAGCGCGAAGAAAGTACGTCGTGCGCTGCTGCTGCTGCTGCTGCTGCTGCTGGTGCTGGTGCTTATGATGGTGATGATTCTTTTAAAACTGTCACAGCCCGCCACTGGGGATCGACCATGAGGCGTGTAGCAGTTTAATTTGTGAAGCAAAGTAAAGAAACAAAAAAGTAGATAGAGAGCGCGAGGAGAAAAAAGAGGGGGGGGGACGATATGCGATAAAGATAATCTGTAGAAAAGCAAAAATTTTGGCGATAATTTTGTTGCATTTCAATGCAATGTTACATAAGGTGAAGTTAAACACATGATCAATGTAGTTTATAGATGTAAGGTAAATAAATAAATGAAAGGTAATGTTTTAGATGTACTGATTGTATTACAAGGCATTCTCTTTGATTATTAAAAAAGTTAGATAGAGCATCATAAATGACGCTGTTGCAGTGCCCTACAATGCCGACGCCTCCAGGGAGAGTAATGCCAATGTGAAAAGCTCAAGGCCACTTCTTTAAAAAGATGGCTTCAGAAATCTCTGCATTATGTTTTGATATAGCTGCGACACCCCATTAAAAAAGTGCTCGATTGTTCCTGCTTCAGTACAAAAGTTACATTGGGGAGAAATAACGGTTCCAGGCCGGTACCTAGACTGTTTCTTTTTTTTCTTTTAATGCGTTCACTCTATAGAGCTTCGTGAAAATACACAAGAGGGGAATCTGGTGCTATAGTGCCTACGGGGGCTGCAATGCATGGCGTTTCAGTCAGCGTGGGTATGAAGGATAGTACATGGCTTTGCCTCAGCTTAGTTTTCCCGGCTCCGTTTGGCCTCATGTATAGCCTGCAGTTGCCATGTCGCACGAGGAAGTTCAGAAAACGTTCAGTAGTTTCGTTTCACCAGCTTGATCTTCTTTTAGGCTCGCTGATTTGAATCGAATCACGGAAGTTCAGAACGATCCATTCTTTTATCTGATTGATTGATATGTGGGGTTTAACGTCCCAAAACCACAATATGATTATGAGAGACGCCGTAGTGGAGGGCTCCGGAAATTTCGACCACCTGGGCTTCTTTAACGTGCACCCAAATCTGAGCACACGGGCCTACAACATTTCCGCCTCCATCGGAAATGCAGCCGCCGCAGCCGGGATTCTATTCCGCGACCTGCGGGTCAGCAGCCGAGTACCTTAGCCACTAGACCACCGCGGCGGGGCATCCTTTTATCTACACAATCGTCGAAATACAACGTACGGTATACAAGAGCGCAAGGGCTTTCGAAGAGGCAAACATAAAAGCGTGGTGGTTTGGGCTAGTTGGTATGACTGGACGATTGTTATAACGCGAGATCAGAACAACGACAAAGGGACAAGAAGAAGACAAAACACTCGTCTTCTTCTTGTCCATTTGCCGTCATTCTGATGTCGTGGTATAACAATGGTCACGCAAGCGTATAGATTAGGCAGATAGATGCACTAGCCATCATCATGCATAGTGGCTAAATGCACAGTGGCTAAATACATTTTTTACTATACTCTGTACGAGGTGTACAAGACGTGCGCAGAAATCCTCTCGTTTTGTGCACTAAGATACGGCGATCTTGTGGAAGTGGGCACCCCCGAGGAATGACCTATTCCTTCGATCAACAGATTCTGTGTGCGAAAAGTATTTCGAACCCGAACTCGTGTGCAAGGAAATGAACGGCCCACGTACGCTCATCACGTTCTCGTGAACTTGATGCGACGGGCGATTGCAAAAACCGTGGTTGTTTAATGGTTATGGAGTCATACTGCTAACCCAGAGATCACAGGTTCGACCACCGCCGCGTTGGCCGTTTGATTTGATGATTGATATGTGAGGTTTAACGTCCCCAAACCACCATATGATTATGAGAGACGCCGTAGTGAAGGGCTACAGACCGCGTTGGCCGTATTTTGACGGAGGCGAAAAACTACAGACCGGTGTACTTAACACTGCAAAGCAGCTTTAACTCCTCAGGAGGTGTCATGCAACCAAAACACTCTTTTGCCTAACTACAATTTGCAAAAATGATGGTGTAAGGGTGTTTCCCTTCTTCAAATGGCCTTTAAGAGGTATACTCTTTTACCTAATTTATTCTTTAGAAGCTAAGGGTGTTATCGGCTATACAACACCTGTGGTTCATCGTGCCAGGCGATACGTGACACTCGTTGATGAAAAGTTGGTGGGTATTTAGCAAGTTTAGATCAAAAGACTGGTCTTTTAAGGCTGTCTGCAAGCACGCCATGTATGTAGGCTTATTGTTAATGCTTAATGTTCATCTGTATGGAACCAAAACATCACCACTGGCACTACACGGTGGCTTAATATAATATGGCTATACATACCATAAGGCCATGTCACAAGCGCTCATTCCATAAGGTGCCTAATCATCATCATCATAGTCATCAGTCGTCGTCGTCGTCATCATCATCATCAGCCTGACTACGTCCACTGCACGACCATGTTCCGCCAGTTAACCTAGTCCTGTGCTTGCTGCTGCCAATTTATACCCGCAAACTTCTTAATCTTATCTGCCCGCCTATCCTGTCTCCCCTTGCCCGCTTGCTTTCTCAGGGAATTCATTTAGTTACCTCTTAATGACCAGCGGTTATCCTGTCTACAGCGCTACATGCATAATACAATACGTTTTATTGTGTATGTTGGAGCGCGTATACGTGCACCTTCTATGCGGATGTCGTCTGTGATTGCATATTTCTCGACTGCTGTAGGCTTTATTTTTCACGAATTTTCAGGTATAAGAGTGTTGGGCCATCGGTAACACGACATGATATGGGTGTTAATTGTGATCCATGAAAGCTTTCATAATGCGTAAGGCTGCTAGTTATAGACATGCTGAAACCTCCTTACGGGTGTAAACTGTGTAGTCTTATGTGCACGCTAAAGAACTTCCGATGATAGAAATTGACGCAACACAAAACTAAGGTGTCCCTCATAATCATATCAAGCTTGGGTCAACGAAACTCCAAGGATACATTACTTATACTACAGACAGAATATTTCGTCAAAGGACTTGATGGCGACAACGTTCCTTGACTACTCTGCATTCTTTTAGAAAACTTTTTAACGTAGCTTTTAAAAGATCTACCTGAAAGGACATTTTCTGTCCCACTGAAGCAAAGCGCGTCGTTCGATAAGCAAAGTACCAGTGATGGTCGACCGTCATGCGCGTAATTTGCATATCTGCTGGCACTGCTGGTGTGTGCCGGCCAAACGAAAACCGAGGCTGTGCCGTGTGGTCTCTTAAAGAGTGTATTGTTTTCCCACTTGTTTGATATCGTTCAGCTATATTTTTCCCCCTTACAAACATAGCAAGTGCAAACAGCCAACAAAAGTTTACGGATCGAGAGCCTCGATATTCGCGACATTTCCGCAACGTCAGCGGCAATCTACAGCAGTGCTATACGCACGGAACGTAGTAGTAGTAGTAGTAGTAGTAGTAGTAGTAGTAGTAGTAGTAGTAGTAGTAGTAGTAGTAGTAGTAGTAGTACTTTTATTTACACTAAGCCGGATACAGAGCTCACTGCAGGGGCAAAGGGCTAAAGGCGAACAGCCTGACAAAGGCCCTTGTCCCTCCGCCCTCCCTTAATCGAGGGCCTCGCTATAGTTTCGCGCTGAGCACATCAGTATTCTACGTATCAGCTTTTTTGTTTAAACCCGACCGCACTTTTCTGCAGCCGTGGCTGCATGCTTCTGTCTCGAAATCAGCCTGTCAGCCTTAATGTTATCAACCGCAGTCTGTCTCACGAAGGATTATCTAGTAAACGGCACACTTTTCAGGGCAGCCGGACGTGATAGCTCCGATTCAGCATCAAAGCAGAAGTGTGGCAGTCACCGATAAATGCTTCTCGCGAAAACAACCAAATTAGAACGCCCTTCGCGGTGGTTGAAAATCGATGTGACAGTGAACAACAAGAAGGCTCACGTCCAGCTCTGCAGCGCCGTGGTATACTGTTATAAGTGACGCTCGCCTGCGTGTCGTGGAAAAGCTGCGAAGCCAAGCTTGCGTGGTCTGCAAAGGTTTGTGGTCGACTGTATACTTAAGCTAGAACTGGGTGATGGGAAAGGCGTCGCTTCTTTTTCAGAACTGGAGCCAAGAAGAAAAACAAGAACAAAAACAAACTTTCCAGCGTCTTTTCGTCGGAAGCAGTAAGTTCGTTTAGTACTTTCAGCGCACCTCATGCCGGGGAAGTCGGCGGGAATATAGGCCAATGAACGTGGTCTTTATGCGAAATCGCATACGCCAACTCAGGTTAACTTTTACCCCTTTTTTCGCACAAATCTGCAGCTCTCGTGTGCGCACAATTGATGCGGCTGCTAAGCTCGTGCCCTGAAATCTCGTCCCTGGTCCGTGAACAACCGTACAAACTGTGGTGCTATTAGAGAAGAAAAAAAAGGGAAAGAAACACACGCAATCTAATGATCTCAGATGCTGTCAGAAAAGTTGAAGTCGACCGCTTTCTATACCACTTCTATTACGGTTAATGCAATGTTTGCCAGGAATATCTCGTTATTTCTGCATATCACACACACATATGAGAGTCAGACCTCCATTTTCTCCCTTCCCCTTCATGTACCCCACCCTCCCCCCAGAAAAAAAAAAAGATACCGGCAACGTACTCACAACTACGAGTAAGAAAATTCAGTTCGACCTCTGACACTCCATATTTTCGCATCATTGCTCGAATGAAACGAACTGTGGGAAACCTTATTAGAATCAGTTCAAAGGTGCCCAAATGAGAGCGTTTAGTCGTCACGAGTGATTGAGCGAAATAGCACCAACTCATGTTCATCCGGGAGTGATTGCCGATCGTGTTGTGCTGATTGGCATCATACCAGACGCTCTGGCAGTGTTATTCGAAGAGACGCAACATCTGCATGCCCATATAATCAGCATGCGAGCGTAGCCGCTTCCTGTCGTTCTGCATTCCGACAATTTCTCTTTATTCGTTCCACTGCATTGCCGAAGCGAATATGCTTTGGGATGAAGCTCGTATGAAACCGGTACATCTACCTTTCATTACATTTGTACGCTCACAAGCAGTAGTGGAAAAGGTTTATAAGAACGCGCATTTTCCCCTGCTCAATGTTCTTCCGGTGCCTGTAATGAATAAACCCGGGACAACACTAAATCAATCTAGACGACAACGCAAAGACAGACGTCTGGAGGGTACACCATAAAAAAGGGGGAGAGGCAAGCTTCTCCGCAGTACCTCCAACTCCCTTATGATTCGAACGGTGCGGAAAAGTACAAGCTCAGAAATAAATGCCAAAATGCAAACGAAGCAATAACTAGCTTCTCACAGCAGCCTTTCTTTGGCCCCCTGCAGTCCGTTAATAAATGTTGGAAATTATGAATTCTATGAGTCTGTAACCGCGCTTCCTCGGCCCCCAATTCGCCGTGAAAAACTTGCGTGCCCACAACTTCGCGATTTTGACACTGAAATTTACGAGCCAGACTGAATTAGGGTATAAAAAGACTTGGATCCCTCTGCCACCTCCTCTCACCCTAGTTAATTAGTGTTGTCGGTGGTCACCCGCGCCGTAATTTTAGTCATGCATGTGTGCCCAGTCTTCTGTCTGAGACACACTTGTTTTCCGTCACACATAATTAATTAGTGTTGTGGCGGTCACCCACGCTGTAATTTTAGTCATGCCTGTATGCCCAGTCTTCTGTCTGAGGCCCATTTTCAGTCACACATAATCAAAAAAAAATTCTGCACTGCTTTGCTGTGGACACTGCTTCACAACAATCCTGTTCTGCTAACAATTGAAATTACGTATGAGTACCTTTTACACGTGTAGCATGATTTTTTTATGCTATGGAACTTCAGTAAAATGTCTCATTTTTTATTACCCACATCCGCCATGGTCAAAAAGTTACGGTTTAAAATCAGCAGTATAAGAAAATGTGTTTTGCCACGAACCCGAGGCTGTATACTGACCAATACGCATTGCGACCGCTGACTTACACAGGTATTGAGTCAGCTTTCCGTTTAGCCCCAAATTTCAACAGATTTATTGGTCCAGCGAGTCCTTTAATTGACCAGATAGTCTGTCAGCTTTCTTTTTTTCTCTTCGTTTACTTTTATGCGGCCATCTGATAGCATGTCGGACGCAGTGGCAGCTGATTTGGAAGCAAGCTCAAAACAAAGAGTAGGAGGGAAAGCACAGACAAAAAGAAACGCGACAGATGCTCAGTTTACAATCACATGACAACCGGCTCAAACGTTGGAGAGAGTGGATACAGGATCCTTCAGGAAAAAAAAAAGAAAGAAAAGACTAATAAGAGAGGCAGTGGTGCATATGTTTTTGCCTTGCTCGCACGACTTCTCCCCGTGTTTCCCGCGCGGGCGCCAGCTCTTTGCCGTCAGCTGGGAAAGCGTTTGCGGCCTGTTTGAGCTCGGGCGCGTTTTAATTTTGTTTACTGGCAACCTGAAACGAAGCTCCGTTTTAGTACGCACCTGTGCAACGAAAGCATCGCAGAGCTGGAGGTCTCAGCTACAACAGCTAACCACTTCGTCCCAGTGTCGAACTGAGAAATTTCGATTTAATCCCGTACCACCCAGTTCTTAACTTCACATTTTTTTACAGTCATGTCCAGCGAAGAAGACTTGACTCCTCTCGTAGAGAAGGCAGTGCAATGCAACGCGGAAGACCTCTGGGGACTCAGCCGGTTCTTGTGGGACAATCCGGAACTGGCCCTGAGGGAGTTCAAGGCGCACGACCGGATCTGCGACTTCCTGGAAGGCAGAGGCTTTGAGGTCCGAAGAAGGCACCTCCTGGACACCGCGTTCCGGGCCCAGTTTCAAGCTCCTGGAGGAGCCGATGGTATCGATTCCGAAGTTTCGTGTGCTACAGTCGGTCAAAACTCAAGAGTGGCGTAGGCCGAAATTCGTTTCAATGGGGGCACGCCCCTGATTGGAAGGGGGGGTTGTGGAGGCTAGTGTAGCCGAATGTAATTTTTGTGCTCTCTTTCACATGACAGCAAAAAACGCCAGGCCTGCGTGGTAGGCGCAGCACAGTCACAGCGCAAGCTAGAAGAGCGGCCTTGCAGAGCCTTTTCAAAACACTCATTGGGTAACTACTACAAGCACACTTGCTTGGTACCCACTAGGGCATTATTAATAAAATTTTTGGGTAGTAGGCTGGCATTCGCTATGCTATTTTTTGTCATTCTTCGGAGAAGCGTGGTATCCGCTAAATAATTTCAAGGAATTTCGTGCCATTTGTCCATGCAGTGGCTGACGACGATCAGGAATTATGGCTGAAGTGGGTATGCGCCACAGTTAATAAGGGAACAAGAACAAGCTTTTCTGATTGATTTGGAGCATTGGACAGCCCACTCGTTACGCTATTCGCATTGTGCGACGACTGGTTGTTCTTTCGCTGCTGTAAAACGCTTTATAAGTCGTATTACGCGATTGCTTTGCCGACATTAAGTCTACCTAAGGCAAGTTTGACAACAAGTCACAAGTAGCAGTGTTGTCGAGACTTTTGACCCCGTTCCGGAGTGGCTTCCCGTTCTTGACGCTTGTATGTGTTTGCCTGAGTTCTGATGAAGTATGTTTTGTGTACTTTACTGGTGATAATTTCATTCATTAAAGAAAAAAAAAGTACCAGTGTAGCTCAGTGGCAGAATACTGGTCTGGCACCTAGCGGACCCGGGTTCGAGCCCCACTGGGTCAGCGGTGCTAGGTCATGCCTGCCTAGGGTAAGTTTGACAACAAGCTATAAGCACCGGCGTTAGTCACTGGTAGAATATTGAAATGACACGCAGTGGACCCGCTTTCAAGCCCCACTACGTCATTAGTGCGAATTTATTTTCTAAATTCGCGCGATTTGGTAACGGACACCGGCGGGGGCGGCGGACAAGTGCGCAACAGCTTTTGCTGTAAAATTAGAGAGGGAAATGTGCTTGGTGCGCCACCCTTTGGGTATACCACTGCAACCTAAGATTAAGCACAGGCCCCACCCCCAGACTTGCACCATCCCCATCATTGACCCGTGCGAAAGAGTCAGTGCTAGGTGTGTTCAGTTCTAACTCCAAGTACTTTTCGGGGCTAATTTAGATACAACACATAAAACTAAAAAAGTAAATCGTGCCTACTTACAATATTACGCCTACTAAGCAGTGATGTCGGAATTATTTCTTGAATTGGAGAGGAAGTTCTAGTTTCAAGGCAAGCGTGTCGAAAAGCTCGTTTCGCAGAAATTCTGGTGTTGGTGCCACTGTCGACGTCGTTGATTGTGAGCGAAAAATAGTCTTTTCCGTGATCAGGGAGTCACGAAAGATGCAAATAAAAGGAATGATAAAAACGTTCGGCGCAAGCGAAGATCGAATCCAGAACGTCTGCGCGGTACACAGGTGCCCCACCATAGAGCCACGACACTATGGCCGAAGTGGCTTCATAAAAAAAAAAAGAAGGAAAAGTAAACAACAACACTGAATGTCACGTATTAAGAGGAATCTCCTTTACGCATGCAACACTGCGTGGCAAAAGCATAGAATCGCTCGAGGCGTCGAAACACCTGGATTCAGGCGTGTGGGTGTTTTAAATGTTCTTCCGTTAAAACGCGCCGACACATATTCAATCATAATCAGCCGCAAAAACACCGATAGAAGGATCTAGGTTATTATCTATTACTATTACAAAATCTTTATAGTAAGTACAGATCAGTGATCATCAAAATTGCATTCTAAAATTTGTGACGTTTTCAATTTGTCAGTTCCTTTACTCTAAAATCGAATAATACTTTACGAGACCACGCAATTATTGGCCGATCGCCTACAGCGTGTATGAGCCACAAGTTAAGGGCAACAAGAACAAGGAGCAGCTGCGTAGGTTCACGTGTTGCCTTACGGACGGGTGGTGAGCACTTCGCTCATTGGCAAAAATAAAGAATTGAATTCAATTCAATTTCAATTTATTTCATCCCAGTATGAGGGCAGGCTCGGGAGAAATCGCGACATAGCGGGCACATGAGCAACTGTACTTGCAGTGGGAAAGCTGGGATAGCTTGAAAAGGGCAATCACACGCATAGTCATTCATTCACTTAAGACATGGTTGAGGCATGGACCGATAACCGAGGCGAAACAAGCACTAGAGAAGAGAATGCCCCCCCCCCCCCCCCCCCCGATAACGCTATCGCGCTCTACTCTTGATCGCGAAGCTCGCAAAACCGCCGCGATTCTATAGAATTGAGTTCAATGCAAAAAATAAAGAAAAGAAAAAAAACGCGAGTTTCGTATCAAACAATCCCAACTTGGCCTGCATAATAATGGTCATATAAGCAATCTCGGAATGATTCAATGACACTGAGGCTTCACAACACACGTGGCACCCGATGTATGAACGAAAGATAAATACTAAATTATTGATAAATATTTGAGAAAAAATCGATAAATATTGATAAATATTGAATGAAAGATAAATTTATCTTGTTCAGTCATGATGCATGGGTACCTTGGTGTCCGACGGCAGTGCCAGTATTTGCAACGTAGTGATGGATTGAATGCAGGCATGCCCTTTTGATGAAGATCTACGGTTCCGAGACTGTCTCTCCAGCCATAAATATTTAGGTCACTTTGTCATTGTTTGATAAGGTGCCGTATATATTTTCGTTTTATGCAACTAAACGCGGTTGTTAGACTTGCACCGGGCTGTGCACTTCTTCCCGTCCATCATTTTTTTTTGTGGCTTTCATTTCCAGCATAGATTGACAACTTGACCAGTATTTAGCTCTTTTAAGTTACAGAAACATGTAGCCTCAAAAGGACCTCGGCGACAGATGGTGGAACCAAAATACGATGCATGTCCCAAAAATACAACGCATCAAAATTGTCTCTCGCCGTATCTGCTGCATTTTTTTAAAGCGGGAAGCGCTAGTTCTGCGTGCACATTTTCCGTTCTACTCGCCCAGGTCCAACGGTCGCCATCATGGCGGAATACGACGCACTGCCGGAGATCGGCCACGCCTGCGGCCACAACTTGATCGCCGAGGCCGCCGTGGGCGCTGCCGTAGCCTCCATGGAAGTCATGAAGAAGAGTTCCATTTTTCGTGGCAAGGTGCGCAATAGAAAGCCCTATAGAATATGCACGCCTCGACGTAACGCCTGCAGCGAAGGAATGAAACAAAAAGGAAAAAGGCAGGGAGGTTAACCTGATAAGCGCGTGGGTTGGCCACTCTACCGTAAGGGCTCTTCACTGCGCTTATAGGCGGACACAAAAAGAGGAGAGAATAGTGGACGTACCCAGCCTACTTCCTGTCTATAGTTCCCGGCACATGTGTCATCTTTCTTCTATTGAAAAATCAGTGGTAATTCTGGCGCACGTTCATGCTCCACTTGCTAAAGGTGGCTTCTTGTGTTTTTGTGCTCGTTATCCCAGTGAAAAGCTTTTACGATGAGTACCATTCAACTAGTTGTACTTGGAGCTCTACTTCAGTATGTGGCTACCCTACCCTAGTGATTTGCGAAAGGGGATAGATTTAAGAGGGAGAGAGAGAGGCAGAAAGAAGGAAACGAGGTGATAACGCCGACGACATGTGGGAGATCGCACAAGTATAGTCTGAGTATAATACAGTGTGCAATGCTGGCGTCCTCAAAAAGCACACCAGTGGCTTCAATACCTTGTGGGCCGATGAGTGATGAGGATGATGGGGAAGTACTCTGGCTTGAGCATGCTAGGTCACCAGCATGCTCGATCACCAGCATGCTTGAGCACCCACATGCTTGAGCAACCCCCTTGCGTAGCATGGCATAACAGTACAATCTCTGCGAAGCCATTTCATTCACGACGTTCTGATCGGGTAATGTGCAAGCACGGATCATCTCCGATCGAAGTATGTTAAAAATACAGCATATTCATGGGGTGAATGATAATGAGTGGGCGAAGCTCCGGAGGCTTCAACCGTACCCGCGAGTCTTCCGAGATTTTCGCCCAGTCGATCATCATGTAGAAACGGCGAGCACGCGCTGAAGCTGTTTCACGAGCCTCTCGCGCTCCGCCACCATGTCTTCATCGGTCATACTCGAAGCACACCCACTACCGGCGAAGGAGGAAGCGCGCCAAGAGCGAACGCACTTTAACGCAAGAGCGAACTCGGTCTTCTATCTGACAACAGCACGTATCAGAGTGGAGCGAGTACCGCGGCTGCCATCTAGTTAGCAATCTGGGTACTCGTGGTGCGAGTGCCGCAGCGCCATCTAGGGGGCGCTCCGAGAGCTAGTAGGTGGCTACGAGAACGCGGGACTTGCCTACGCCTTAAGGAGCCCTAAATGAACTGAACAGGACTGCCCAGGTCAGCCTTGCCTTTCATCTTGCGTTCAGTCTCGTCTCGGAGCTTGTACCAGTGTGTTCGTACCAATGAAATTACCTTTTACCGAACAGTTCAAGACCGTCGGAAAAAGGAAAGACTGCGCGAAAAATAATATATATCAAAATCTTGGTAAAAAAACGCCGCAAAAGAACATTACGTTTTAACTACTCCCGGAAGCGACAAGAATAGCTTGCAATTGTAGCCACTTTCACGACTGAAACTGGCAGAGGCGATGTCATGACTCTTCAGCCTGTTTCACATGGTGCTTCTCCGCTCTTGGGGCAAAATTGATAGCACGTGAAACAGTCTTGAGCCGGAGGCGCAAGACAAGACACCTCACCGAGAACACGAGAGCCCCGGTATTGCTTCCGATATTAAGGGAGCCCCGCGGCGGTAGCCTAGTGGCTAAGGTACTCGACTGCTGACCCGCAGGTCGCGGGATCGAATCCCGGCAGTGGTGGCCGTGTTTTCGACGCAGGCAAAATTGATGTAGGCCTGTGTTCTCAGATTTGGGTGCACGTTAAAGAACACCGGGCGGTCAAATTTCCATAGTCCTCCACTATGGCGTCTCTCATAATCATAAGCGGTTTTGGGACGTTAAACCCTACACATCAATCAATATAGAGAGGACCACCTAACATCTCGGAGATGATGTAGAGTGTCGTAGGTCATGGCGGAGCCCTACCTTTATTGCTATTGAATGACTGTGTCCATGAAGAATTTCCTCATATGTTCCTTGAAGAGGTATTAGGAAGAAAGCTGTCCATGCAAAGTGCCATAGCCGACATATTTGCTGAAGTTAGTTTAGAATACTATACACCAACGCGTAACAAATGCAGCCGAACTTCAGTTGCACTCAAGTTATCTGGTATACAACGGGATGAACAGGAATGGTAAGTCTGTAAATTATAGTGGCCAAACCAAGGCATTTGTTTGCCGGTTTGAATACGATTTGTACTCTTTTATTCTGCATTTGAAAATCACTTTACCTGCCATATCCGGTTCCAGGCGAGCACATGTGATTGATTGATTTCGGGCGTTTAACGCCCCAAAATTACCATATGACTTTGAGAGACGCCGTAGAGGAGGGCTCCGAAAATTTCGACCACCTGGGGTTCTTTACCTTCCACCCAAACCTGAGCACACGGGCCTACAGCATTTTGGCCTCCATCAAAAACGCAACCGTCGCTGCTGGGATTCGATCCCGCAACCTGCGGGTCAACAGCCGAGTACCTTATAGAGGCGAGCAAATGTCGTAGCTCGTGAGTCGTCCTAATTGTTGTACCCAGTTTGCTGTTCAAACGCGCCAGAAACAATAGCAAAAGTTATGTGCTTAGTCCGAGTGCTGCGAATGCGCGCGGAGCGCGCACATGCCCATTAAACCGCAGCATGGCAGCACGAACCACTGTTGCCCCCAACTTCCACCATTTACAGTATTTGTTGTCCGTGCTACATACTGCGTGCTGCACACATACGCAAAAAAAAACACTGATAAAATTCCGTTGGAGAAAGAGCGCTTAAAATGGATAAGGACAAGTAAAGACACAACACAGATGCTGAACTCCAGCTGAATTCAACAAAGGCACTGACACTCATGTTTTTGCCTCTAGATGTTTTTTTCCCGGATGTGCTCTCACATGTTTTTATTCGCCATGAATGGTTATTTTTGTAGATCTTGACTGCTCTGCTGCACGGATGCAACGGTGTGTCACATGACGAGGTCGGTTTTGTTTATATATGCATGCTTTCATCTTCCAATAAATTTTTAGTTTCGAGTTCAGTGCGTGTGTTGTGTTTTAACTTGTCCTATTTCATATTAGTCACTGTTTTTTTTTGCCTAATCATTGTCATCATCATCAGCCTGACTACGCCCACTGCAGGGAAAAGGCCTCTCCCATGTTCCGCCAGTTAACTCGGTCAGTCAACTCAGGTGTATTTGGAGCATTTCTTTCTTACTTGATCGATAATATGAATATGGTCGATTGTTGAGTAACCTTACGAAATCTTGATTAATCGTTTGGTTGAATTCTAATGCCGTCCTAATTCTGCTAGCATTTACCTTCGTTATTAGCTTGTATACGACAGGGAGAAAGCTGATCGGCCAGTAATTCTTGAGGTCACTGTCATCCCGTTTCTTACGAATTAAGATGATGTAAGCATTTTTACAAGATTGTGGTGCACTCCCCGTCAGGAGACAATTCGTAAACAGAGTGGCCAGTTTTTCTAACACCTGTACTCCATCCTTCAGCAGATCTGATGTTACCTGATCCTCACCAACAGCTTTGCCTGTTTGCATTCGCTCCAAGGCTTTCCTGACTACTGTCATTACGGGTGGGATGCCACCTGGGGTACTGTTTGTTCTTTCTTTGTGATCGTGGTTGCCCTGGCTATTGTACAGATTTCTGTAAAGCCCCGCCGCGGTGGTCTAGTGGCTAAGGTACTCGGCTGCTGACCCGCAGGTCGCTGGTTTGATTCCCGGCTGCGGCGGCTGCATTTCCGATGGAGGCGGAAATGCTGTAGGCCCGTGTGCTCAGATTTGGGTGCACGTTAAAGAACCCAGGTGGTCGAAATTTCCGGAGCCCTCCACTACGGCATCTCTCATGATCATACGGTGGTTTTGGGACGTTAAACCCCACAAATAAAAAAAATCAGATTTCTGTAAAGCTCCTCCACTATCTTAACTATGTTATGCTTATTCCTATTTAATGATCAACCATAAACTAGCCCAGCCTTTTTTTCTAACTCCATTGGCAAAAAAAATGTTTCAGGGCGTTTTCTGCCTTAATACTTTATCATTAGACCCGGTGACTGGTACACTTTCTGCATCACCAAAGAAAGCAAGTGCCGTAAAGACTGGTTGTCGGTCCCGTTAAGGACGTGATACTCGCAGATCGTCGTAATCGGCACGCCTGCAGAAGAGCAACTTGGCGGCAAGGAGATGCTGCTCCAGAAGGGCGCCTTCCAGGACATCGACGTCGCGATGATGGTTCACCCGATGCACCAGGACACGCTCAGACTCACCGTCAACGCCTCGCAGCAGGTACGTCAGCGCGCATGCGCCAACCAAAGCTTGCGACTTGCCGATCCGCCCACACAGAACAGCGTAAAAAAAGTGAAATAGATTGAAATGGAACATTGAATAGCTTTTTTTTTTTTGAATAACCTTCGACTGAAGCAATGCGCGCCGAAAAATAGCTTGCGCTCTGCCCGATGATTCTTGGCAAATAACGATTGATGAGTAAACGTGACTTGTTCGAGGAACTATACAAAGACTATCTCCTGTTGCTCTTTATTTAGTTTGGTCGCTTCAAGAAAACTAGCCAAATCTTTTCTTCAAATTTCGCATTGAATGGGGAACACTCAGTGACAAGTTTATATATACATTGAATGGTCGAGGCAAAGATTGTTGCAAAAATAAATTATACGCTTAAAACCAATGACACAGAAATAGAATGATATCGGATTTTTTGTTCAAAAGTTTTGAATTTAAGACACATTTAAGACGTCGAACCACAGATGTGTGCACAGGAGGGGTGGGGGGGGGGGGAGGATGGTACGCAAGTACGGCCTATATATGTCTTCCATCTCCCTGTTCCGAAAGAGAACCCTGGGCACGTTTATATACAGTAGGCCGCTAATATATACAGTAGGCCGCTGTGTGTAGAACAGTACTGTGGAGGTCTCTTGAAGCTACGATGGTTGTCTTCCAGCCTCTCTAACGTAAACTAAAAGTTTCTACTTGGCATGCACACTGCCTTGAACTGCTCGTGCACCATATTCATGCCTACTCTCACATCGTGAACTTACTTACAGCGCAACACCAGAAAAAATACAGGACAGGGAAGGAGCAAAAGAGAAAGAAAAGCGCCGGCTTTTCTTTCTCTTTTGCTCATTCCTTGTCCTGTATTTTTTCTGGTGTTGCGCTGTAAGTAAGTTCACGATGGATCCTAACCAACTGGCCCAACTTACCGTCTTACTACTCTCACGTTCCTATCTCGCGCTTAACGACATTCGTGTTATCAGCAGGGCCTGAATGATTGAAGCGTCCGTCCTATGACCTCGTAAAGCAGCTTATCAACATGCGTACTATGAGCAGGGCCTACAATATTGAATTAATCGTGCTACGACTTCGCAGAGCAGCTTGAGCAGCCGCTGTCGTGTTATCGCTTCCTGTCGCAGATGACTGTGAGGTATGAAGGCAGAGCTGCCCATGCCGCCGCGTGTCCCTGGGAAGGAGTGAACGCACTAGACGCAGCTGTGGCGTCGTACGTCAACATGGCCCTGCTGCGACAACAGACGAAGCCTTCCTGCCGAATACACGGTCAGTTTGCGCATCCAGATTTCACAGTCGATGGGGGTCATGAACAAACAAACAAACAAACAAACAAACAAACAAACAAACAAACAAACAAACAAACAAACAAACAAACAAACAAACAAACAAACAAACAAACAAACAAACAAACAAACAAACAAACTGTGAAGAAGAAGATGTGCCTGCAGCGAGCAGCATCGCCAACGCCTGGCTCTCTCGGCTCGTGCTTCGGTTCGTTGCTGTGCCGATCGCTGGACGGTTCTTGACGCTGTCTCGTCGCTGTCTTTAACGGCTAATAAACCTCCTCACAAAACAAACAAACAAACAAACAAACAAACAAACAAACAAACAAACAAACAAACAAACAAACAAACAAACAAACAAACAAACAAACAAACAAACAAACAAACAAACAAACAATGGCCGCGTATCTGCGTACTTCACTACGAATGTCGCCGAAAACCGAGTTTTCCGCCAGCCGTGTTTTCCGTGCATTGAGGGGCATTTACAGCACTCGGTATGAAACACTAGGTTGTTCAGAATCACGCATGTGTGCATTTTCTGGTAAAGAGAAACACCATCCAATACTCACGTGTTGATGTTGCGCCTCAGATATGCTTAATTTCTGTTTTTTGATCGACAATGTTATCTGTATGCGGGACAACCACAACCATAATGTACGAACTATAGCAGTACCCCGGATGACATCCCACCAGTAATGACAGAAGTATAGGAAAGCCTTGAGGGGGATGCAAAAAGGCAAAGAGGCTGGTGAGGATCAGGTAACATCAGATCTTCTGAAAGATGGAGGATAGATTGTGTTAGTAAAACTTGCCACCTTGATAACGAAGTGTCTCCTGACGGGGAGGGTACCAGAATCTTTGAAGAGTGCCAACATCGTCTTAATACATAAAAGACGACAAAAACTTGAAGAATCGCACCTTTCTTTCCGTCGTATGCAAGCTCTTTCCAAAGTTATTTGCTAACATAATTAAGACAAAATTAGAATTCAATCAACCGAAGGGTCAAGTAGGATTTTGTACAGGCTACTGAACAATTGACCACATTAATACTGTCAATCAAGTGATAAAGAAATGCGTGGAATAAACTCAATCACTATACAGAGCCTTCATAGATTTCGAGAAGGCATTCAATTCAGTAGAGATATCAGCAGTCATGCAGACACTGCGGAATTCAGGGCATCGACGAAGCACATATAAACATCCTGGAAGAAATCTACGGTGGATCATCTGCCACCGTAGTGCTCCATAAATAAGCGAGAGAATACCAGTAAAGAAGGCTTAAAAACAAAAGATGACTATCTCCAGAATTCTATTTACCGCGTGCTTACAGGATGTTTTCAGAGGCCTAGAATGGGAACAGTTAGGGATGAGAGTTAATGAAGAGTACCTTAGTAACCTGCGCTTCTCCGATGATATTGCATTGTGAGTGACTCAGGGGACGAGTTGCAATTCATGATTACTGAATTAAACAAGGAGAGCAGAAATGTAGACCTTAAAATTAATCAATAGAAAACAAATTGATTGATTTTTGGGGTTTAACGTCCCAAAATCCCCATATGGTTATGAGAGATGCCGTAGTAGAGGGCTCCGGAAATTTCGACCACCTGGATTTCTTTAACGTGCGCCCAAATCTGAGCACACGGGCCTACAACATTTCCGCCTCCATCGGAAATGCAGCCACCGCAGCGTAGAAAACGGAAGTAATGTACAATAACCTCGGAAGAGAACAGCGCTTCGAGATAGGTAGCAGTGCGCTTGAAGTTGTAAAATATTACGTTTACTTAGAACAGGTAATAATGAACCGCGGAGCTGAACCACGAGACTGAAGCAACTAGAAGAATAAAATTGGGGTGGAGCACATTTGGCAGTCACTCTCAAATCATGACAGGTAGATTGCCACTATCCCTCAATAGGAAGGTATATAACAGCTGCATCTTGTCGGTACTTATCTACGGAGCAGAAACCTGGAGGATTACGAAGAGGGCTCAATTTAAGTTGAGGACGACGCAGCGAGCAATGATAGGCGTAACCCTAAGGGCCAAGAAGAGAGCAGATTGTATCAAGGAACGAACGGGTGGTATGGACATCATATTCGAAATCAAGAAGATTAAATGGTCGCGGGCAGGGCACGAAGTGCGAAGGCAAGGTATCCGTTGGCATTAAGAATCACAGACTTGATTTCAAGGAAAGACAAGTGGTAGAACGCGAGACAGAAAGTCAGTAGGACCGATCAGATTAAGAAGTCTGCTGGCATAAAGTGGCAGCAGCATGCATGGGACCGAGTTGACGGACAGAACATGGGAGAGACCCATGTCCTGCAGGGGGCGTAGTCAGGCTGATGATGATGATGACGATGCTGTAGACAATCACGCTATGCATTACCCCTCTCTTCCTTCTTTCCTCCGACCCTTCTGCTCCCCCACACTTCCCTTTCAAGTCCTGTCGTTGTACTCTACATGCATATATTATATTTTTCTTGTAGCATGACTAGCGATGACCAGACACAGAGGCCGAAACTCCACGCCCCATAAAGTGCTTAATAGTTGACTCATGCAGACCAAAAGTAGTCCGTGCACACGCCAGACATGATACTGGATCACACAGTAACCAAATTAGTTATAAGAATGAAAGTGAAGGCCGTGGTGAAAATGAACGACGCAGTCGCTCAAAAAATACCTAAGGAAACTTGGCTGGCGCATCCTATTCAAAGCACAAGTACGCAATATGTTGGTTGCGCTTCGTCACGTCTCTCACAATTTTCACGTCCGTGAGCGCTGGCAAAACTGATAGATAGAACGTGTAGCAACTAGTCGAGTATATACAGTGTTGAAGCAATGAACGAGTTCTCATATTTAAATATGTAAACAACAATAGCCTCATTTTCTTCGATATTGCCTGATAGTTTGCTTTTGTTTTTCTGCTGATCTATATGAATGAATAAATGAATGAATGAATGAACGAATGAGTGGATGCATCAATCAATCAATCAATCAATCAATCAATCAATCAATCAATCAATCAATCAATCAATCAATCAATCAATCAATCAATCAATCAATCAATCAATCAATCAATCAATCAATCAGTCAGTCAATCAGTCAGTCAATCAATCAATCAATCAATCAAACTTTGCTTTGCAACGTGAGCTGGCTGAAAAGTTCCTTTGATTCCTCAGCATTCCCCGTAGACTATTACACATGGAAGTTCTGTAGTTGACGCGATTTTGACGTGGTATCCAAAAACACAGGGATCATCACCGAGTCGGGGAGCTATCCCAACATCATCCCAGAAGCCAGTAAGATGATGTACCACATCCGGGGCCAAACGGTCGACGAAATGAACCAGTTGGTAGCTCGAGCCGAAGACTGCTTTGAGGCGGCAGCGAAGGCGACCAACTGCACCTTGACCCTGACCAAAGACGTCGTCTACATGGACGTTGTCCACAACATGGCCCTTTCCAAAGTCTATTTGAAGCACGGTCACAACCTTGGTGAGTGCTACCCAGATTACTGTTGCGGAATGGGCACCTCCATTAATTCTAGTTTCATTCCGATTTCATTCCAGCTTAATTCCAATTTCATTCGGATTTAATTCCGATTTCATTCCGTTTTCATTCCTAGGTCATTCCGATTTAATTCCGATTACATTACTATTTCATTCCTATTTCATTCCTATTTCATTCCTATTTCATTGAGGTTACAATGTGGTTACATTGCGGTTACATTGCGGTTACAATGCGGTTACCTTGCAGTTACCTTGCTGTTACCTTGCTGTTACAATGATGTTACAATAATGTTACATTGATGTTACATTGCTGTTACATTGATGTTACATTGTGGGTACGTTGTGGTTACATTGTGGTTACATTACGGAGAATTAGTGCTAGTCGGAATTCTAATTTTTGCAATTCGTCGGAACAAAAAAAAAACAGCCAATTCCTACTCCGGAAATGGCCGGACAGTTCAATTCCATTCCTGTAATTCCTCAACGTAGGAAAGGCAGCTTGATAGTTTTATCGAGTTAAAAATGAACGCCCCACAAAGACGATGCCATCAGATGCATGAAAAACTTGAAAACTTACGCAAAACATACCAAGGTCGAGGGATAGTAGTTCGGTGACATACTATTTCGTGCAGTACAACCACTACAATAATTTCCCCAGGGGCAGTTCTCCGCCTACCTTTAGTGTTTCATTGGTTCAGTGAAATTTTCTGAAATTTTGCATCTAATGACTTTAAGTCACTTAGAACAAAGTGTGAACATTTTTTACCGATAAATGGTGAAGTAGGTGCTATCAAACGCCTCCAAAATCTATGACGTCACGGTGAGTTGGCACGAGAACTCCAAGCCCGGAAGTTGCCACCCGTACTTTATTCTTGCGCCTTTTCTCGTCTACCAAGCGCACTGTCGTGGTGGCATTGGTGCTTAAGGTATTGCGAAGTTCTGGTTTAAATACGTGAAAAATTAATAATTTCCTCTTTAGCGTCACTGCAACATGCACACACGCACAGACACAAATGGTTGCTGTTTTTTGTAACACTCGTATATCAGTATACACGTTCTGCTTAATGAGGAGACCTCACAAAAAAGAAGCATGCATAACAGGAAGGGTTGATGGGTGGGCTGGTTGGTACATATTCATAATGAAATGTTGGGACCGCAATATAACGGGACAATATCTCCGTTGACTTTCTGGTATATATTATCTCCGTTGAATAAACCAAGTTTCAGTCCACGCTCGTTCATCTCGTCTCTTGCACCCCGTTTGTTCGCGCTGCCAATATTTCAATATGAGATGCATAATGGGGACGATGTCTTATCGCACGACCCAAGTAAACTCTCGCGTAGTGTGGCAGTGGGTTCGAGGAAATACGATTTCTTAAGTTTAGGGGCCAATCCGCACAATGTCCCTCCGTCCATGAATCGCTGCCCATGGTGTCGAACGCAGATGCAAAACGAAACAACTGTGAACAACAAAAGAGTCACCAAAAGGCTGTTAACCAGATCAAAATAAAAGGCCACAACATCGGAAACACGCCGTCATGTCTTATCGCACGACCTGAGTAAACTCCCGCGTGGTGTGGCAGTGGATTCGAGGAAATAGGATTTCTTAAGTTTAAGGGGCGAATCCGCACAATGTCCCTCCGTCCACGAATCGCTGCCCGCGGCGTCGACCGCAGATGTAAACCGAAACAACTGAGAACAACAAAAAAAGTGATCAAAAGGCTGTTAAACAGATCAAAATAAAAGACCACAACATCGGAAACACGCCATCATGTCTTCTCGCACGACCCAAGTAAACTCCCGCGTAGTGTGGCAGTGTTTTTGAGGAAATACGATTTCTTAAGTTTAAGGGGCGAATCCGCACAATGTCCCTCCGTCCAATAATCGCTGCCCGCGGCGCCGACCGCAGATGCAAACCGAAACAACTGAGAACAGCAAAAAAAGTTATTAAAAGGTTGTTAAACAGATCAAAATAAAAGGCTACAACATCAAAAAAACACGCCATCATGTCTTATCACACGACCCAAGTAAACTCCCGCGTAGTGTGGCAGTGTGTTCGAGGAAATACGATTTTTTAAGTTTAGGGGCGAATCCGCACAATGTCCGTCCGTCCATGATTCGCTGCCCGTGGCGTCGACCGCAGATGTAAACCGAGACAACTGAGAACAACAAAAGAGTCATCAAAAGGCTGTTAACCAGATCAAAATAAAAGGCCACAACATCGGAAACACGCCATCATGTCTTACCGCACGACCCAAGTAAACTCCCGCGTAGTGTGGCAGTGTGTTTGAGGAAATACGATTTCTTAAGTTTAAGGGGCGAATTCGCACAATGTCCCTCCGTCCACGAATCGCTGCCCGCGGCGTTGACCGCAGATGCAAAACAAAACAACTGTGAACAACAAAAGAGTCACCAAAAGGCTGTTAACCAGATCAAAATAAAAGGCCACAACATCGGAAACACGCCGTCATGTCTTATCGCACGACCGAAGTAAACTCCCGCGTAGTGTGGCACTGGGTTCGAGGAAATACGATTTCTTAAGTTTAAGGGGCGAATCCGCACAATGTCCCTTAGTTCATGAATCGCTACCCGCGGTGTCGACCGCAGATGTAAAACGAAACAACTGTTAACAACAAAAGAGTTATCAAAAGGCTGTTAACCAGATCAAAATAAAAGGCCACAACATCGGAAACACGCCGTCATCTCTTATCGCACGACTCAAGTAAACTCCCGCGTAGTGTGGCCGTGGGTTCGAGGAAATACGATTCCTCAAGTTTAGGGGCGAATCCGCACAATGTCCCTCCGTCCATGAATCGCTGCCCGCGGCGTCGACCGCAGATGTAAAACGAAACAACTGTGAACAACAAAAGAATCATCAAAAGGCTGTTAACCAGATCAAAATAAGAGGCCACAACATCGGAAACACGCCGTCATTCAGCCCTCCATCGATGAAAGCACGTGACTGAACAAAAAGACTTACAATAACGAAATTAAAGGCTTCTTAATCAGAACAAAATAGAAGGCCACAATTCACGAATCCAATGCACACTGCTTCGACCCATCATCAGTATTCACTTCGTGGATATGCGTAGGTGACTCAATTATTGGTATGCTCTTGTTATCACGGGACGGCTTTATGCTCTCCCATAGTAGAGTACCTAGTACTCTGAATTGTTACGCACTTTTTCTAAACTCAAAAATCGGGACGAGAGTGAAGTGATGCTCTGCTAACTGCCCCGCCCTCTCACGCACTGGAATGCAGGGGTGAAATTCACGGACGTCGACCTCGGTTGCACCGAGGTCTGCGGAGCCTCGACGGACGCCGGAAACGTGTCGCACGTGGTGCCCCTCATTCACCCGGTGTTCGCCATCCCCACCGAGGGCATCAACCACACGCCAGCGTTCGCCCGGGGCGCCAACTCGCCGCAGGCACAGCCGCCGACGCTACGCGCGGCCAAGATCATGGCGCTGACGGCACTGGATCTGTTGAGGGATCCCGCGTTGGTGTCCGAGGTCAAGGCGGAGTTTGACCAGTGGAAGAATGGACGGGGGGAGAAGCTTGTCCGAACGAAGGCTCGGGTGAATTGGTAAGAATCCACTAACAGACGGAAAGTTAAGTCTAATTACAAGATATTAATCAACGCGTACACGAAGACGAAAAAGGGACAGGGAAAGTACAGTAAAAAGACACTGACTTCCAAGTAGTCTTATGTGAGTGAAGAAGTGCTTATATGCGGAACAGAGGAAAGGAAATGAAACGGGTCAAGAATGTGGACATAAGCTTGTGCATAATGATGTATCAACCCATAATTTTATCAGCCACAAAGTCCGGCAAGATAACGAAAGTCTTCTTCTGGTAAGGCTGTCCCGTTTCCTTATCGTTTATGCATTATATTTTTCAATGATTAAAGAAATGTGGTTTCGTTAATGGGTTTAACAGTGTAAGCGTCAGTGATCACTGCAGTGTAAGAGTTAGCGCTCGCAGCTTCGCATTTACACATGATTTCCTTTAGAAAGAGATGATGTAATATCTTCGGCCCTTTTTACTAATGTGCTAGATATGCCTCGCAAGTCTAAACCTCAAGTTTGTGCCGATTCTCGGACGCCACCACCGCAACACTCACGAGGGCAGTTCTTACTGGGGACACACTGGTACAGCAAGCCTCTCAGCGATCTATAGCGATTGCAGTTGTCGTACATACAGCAAGTGTTCTCTTTTTCCCACTCGGGACGGTATTTTGCAATTGAGTGCAGCATGAGGCGGCGCAATCGGTTGCAGTAGAACGTGTATGTTATAGTTGGCACAGCAGAGACTCTGCAAGATTCAGCTGCTCGGCTTATGTTCGTCTGCCGCAAGGTAGCTGACACAAGATTATTACTGTTTTATTCAATTAATTCTGCTAGAAATGACAATCTTACGCAATATGTACCGCTAATCAGCCAAACAACTGATAACTTTGCAAACTATCCAACCAACCATATTAAGAAAATGTGTTAAGTGCAGTTAGATACAAGTGTTGAAGATTGGGCGAGTTGGTTCATCGTACTTGAACTGGCATAGCGCATTACGGGGAAGAAGAAACGGCCGAGCAGACCGACACAAGAGGACAGAGCGCTAACTTCCAACTGAGCTTTATTGTCAAAATGCATCAAATATGTAGACCGGCGCAAGCATACAAAACCACCCTAACGCAACGACATGAAGTCGTTGAGTTAGGGTGGGTAATGAAGTGGCCTTCCTTAATCAGGATAACCGCCTATGAATCTGTGATGTGTGACGGTGCGATGTTATGTGTTATCTTTTCGTTGCGTTAGGGTGGTTTTGTATGCTTGTGCCGGTCTACATATTTGATGCATTTTGACAATAAATGCTCAGTTGGAAGTTAGCGCTCTGTCCTCTTGTGTCGGTCTGCTCAGCCGTTTCTTCTTCCCCGTAATGCGCTATACCAGTTCAAGTACAGTTAGATACAACCCATTTAATAAAGCAGTCAGTGCAATCTTCCACGATGGAGTCAAAAAGCATGAATCTTCATACTGAGTCATCGCAGTGAAAACTTCGACATCGAGTAGCGTTGCGGTGTGCATATTGTCACGTACAGTTAAAAAAAGTGCACTTTAATTAAACAGCTGAAAAGGATAAACTAGTGCCTTATAAACAAGTTAGAGAAATGTACTTGTGCCCACTGTATCTTGCGTCGATATTCAAACATATATCGTATGCCCAAATGAACACTAAGTAAATAAAAAGAAACGATTTTCGTTGCACTACTGAATTACTTTTCTCGACGCCAAAAATCTTCACGCTCCCCACAAAAAGAGAACACACAAGCGAGACGGTGCACAAAAACTAAAATGCAGGTGGCAACGCCACCTCGAAGTTCGTGCACCGATCACCACGATTTTGACGGCGTATGGTAGGGCTTGCGTATAGCTTCTATAATCCGCAAAAATAAAGTACATTATATTCTGAGTAAGTCAAGGGAATTAACGTGCCAAGCTACGAAAAATGTTCTAGAGCCAATCCGGCCAAAGTGCAAAGAAAGAAAACAAAAAAAAACAAACAAAGTTCCAAATCCGCAGTGTCACAGCTGAAAAAAACAAGGTGGAAATTCTGAAGTGATTCTTTCAACATTTATTTTCTGATGAAATAAGTGAGCTACGGTGGGGAAAAAATTATAATAAAGTTTTCGGAATGTACTCATTATTATATACTAATGCATTATTTCACTTTCGTTCAATAAAATAAATTTCTTCTTTCTACTACTTCATATAACGGAGTAACCGCTTTAAAGCGTTACTTCTAAGACATTAGTTGCATTTCATTGAAAATAGTAGAGAACCTACAATATAACGAGTGAAAGTTAATATTACGATGCGGTGGGTGTAGGCAATTATGACCGATGAAGTGATCTAGTGCTGTCAGAACAATTTGGCAATTTTACTTTCAATCGCTGCATGCAAATTTCTTTATGTCCTTACACAGACGGCCAAAATCCAGCTGCTTAGGCTCTTCAGCCCCACCACAGCTGCCCTGCTGTGTCGGGTCTTCCTTGCTGTCGGTGTTTCCACGCTTCTTACGAAAAATATTGACCTAAAGGTACAAGAAAACACCTCTTCCAAGACCTACAAGGGTCTGCCGGTGTGCAGGCTCTGCAAATGCAGGAAAGATAACACTCTTTAAGGAGTTGGCCCGCTTTCCTTGGAGCATCGAATCTTGGGTGCCTACAATCAACAACCTCGCTGGGAGCTTTCGCCATAAATGTTGTTGCTTCAAAGTGGTGGTATTTGTGCTGAACGCACGTGATCGAATCAAATAAACAAAACGTATTGATTGATTGATTGATTGATTGATTGATTGATTGATTGATTGATATGTGGGGTTTAACGTCCCAAAACCACCTTATAATTATGAGAGACGCAGTAGTGGAGGGCTCCGGAAATTTCGATCACCTGGGGTTCTTTATAAACAAAACGTAAGGCAGTTGGATTAACTGCGTTTTTTTAGCGATGCCTCTTCGGAGGCTCAGAAAACTGATTTACACTAGCAAACAAAGGAACAAGAATCTGAAAATCTTGTAATCTGTGAAAATCTGTGATATATAAAACTTACGCACAAAAATTAACATAAAATCTGCATGAATTTTTATTTGTGGCGACAACTTGTACTGTGTTCCAGTTACTTCATAAGCACTTCTTGACGGGGCCGAGATTTATTCCAGTACTGTTGAAATTTGGGCTGTCGTTTAAAGAATGGGCAAACATTGTTAAGAAATGAATAACTGTATATTTAATAAATTAATTTTTGTTTGCATCGTGTGCCATGTGGTGCTTTCTTTTTACGGGAGATAAAGCGAGTGTGGTAGTAGACACGATGTTGTAAGTTAGCGCCAGTATTGTGCGTCTTCTTTTCGTGTCCTCTTCATTCAGCTCTGTTTTCCATCATCACCTATTTGTATACTACCGATTCCACAATAGAATCAGCGCGAGGATACTACTATTTTATTTTCAAATGCTACACAGTGTCGTGTATTTTGTAGTCTGAAATTAGGTTTCAGTTCTTCGCTTATCCCCCTCAGTGGGTATGAGTTATGTTAGAAGTTTCATCATCATCATTATCCGATGAGGCTTGAGGAACTCGACCTGGCGTCGTTCTCTGATAAAAAGTTACCGAGTATAGAGTCCTGGTGGAGTCCGCAACCGTCGGCGACCTCCTCGATCCAGCCCACAAGGCCTGTCCTAACTTCGGGAACTGCACCCTTCGATTGCAAGGCAAGTCGGGAAATCTTGCTGTAAAGAACTCTCGCGAAAGCTGAATGAATTGAAATGTTAGTAGAATCAGAGGGGAAAGGGTCGGTAGAAATATTTGTATTGACTAAATATTGAACTGAATTAAGGGCAAAGAAGCTCAGTGTTGGTTTGGCAACGAATACGTTTTAGCGCGTGCGGGAGGCCTCGGGCAGGACCTTAGCAACGTCCAGGACTGAAACAAGAAAGGAGAACGAAACAGTGCTTTGTCAATAGTAGTTTACGGCTGAACAACGGCGAAATCGCCAGACAACGATGAGGTGAAGACAGAGACCGCGCATGGGGTGACGTATCTGAAAATAAGCGATGTATCATTAACGATGTGGCATTGAGGGGGCCATGACCCTAGACCTTCGAGTTCGAATTTTCGATTACACTCTAAACTGATAGAGGCCAAACAAGTCATAAGTGACGCAGCATAGGTTTACGATTCATTCAATCGATCAATGAAAAATCAGTCAATCGATACCGATCTGCAATGCACAGGCTTATTATGGGCCTAAACATATAAAAGGAGCTTGAATAACTCCCTGAGACAACATGGCGTTTGTACTGTCGTAGCGTGAAGCTGTGAGTTTGTACAAAGAGGACATGTTTTGGCCGCGTTGAACGGTGCATTATTTATCATTCCGTGCCGTATATGACATTGCAGGGGTGTTACAATCGTTCGAACGGTTCAACGTACCCAACCACGAGGGCCTAGCCGGCAATGGAAGCGAAGTTTTCGTCCCTGTTGCGAAGCGTTCTGGAGACCAAAGCGAAGGAGCTCCGTGACGTCAGCAAGTTCCTCTGGGAGAACCCGGAGACAGCGCTGCGCGAGACCAAGGCCCACGACAAGCTGTGCGAGTTTCTCGAAGGACAGGGCTTCAGAGTGCGCCGACACTACTACATGGACACGGCATTCAGGGCCGAGTACGGTGCGCCGGGAGGCACCAATGGTATGTCGACATAAGCTGTGGTTTTTGAGGGGCAGGTCGCCAAACAGCATGCCCCTCCTGGGTTCTAAATATAGTTTGCATCTCTTGAGGAGTCATCTTGTTGCAGTTGTATGGACCCTTTAGGCCTACGTATCGCCGTCGCCGTCATGATTCGTAATCTATAACATCGCTCCACGCGTCGTCATTCTAAGCACGAGTGAAAGCGCCCGCGACCGCTTGATAACGGGCGCGGTTTGAGCAGAGATGAAGTGATCCTGTTGTCTTTATTGTAGAAAAGGTTCATAGGGATACTTAAAAGACGTGGCGCCAGATTAGAACCGGGAAGATCCTAAAAAAAACAGAAAACGCCAAGTCGTCCTTTTTGTCTCTTCTGGGTTTCTCTCAGTTCTGACCCTGTGCTACCTATTTCCAAAAACAATGCACCAACTGGCCCAACGTATCGTATTGATGGTGGTAGGAGCCACACGGCAAAATGGTATGTGTGGGCGGGGGGGGGGGGGAGGTGAAGTGATGGAGTAGGTGGTGCGTGCTTTCGGCATGAAATGCATCTCATGCTTACAAACAACGAAAAACACAAGGACGAGCAGAGATACCCACAGTACAAGCACTTTCGAACGACTGGTTTTCCTACTGGCGAACTCGGACTTTTAATCCGAACAGTACTTCGTGAAGCGATTCTCGAACAATGTCAGCGCACATAGCGAGGCACGTGAAGTGACGTAACAATCACGAATGCTCCCCATGACGCACTTAAGCATTCCTCCGCTGAACATTTGGTAACTGGCGCTAGACAGGAACACGAAAAAAAGGTGAGGAAATAGACAGACGAGTGCCAAATAACCTATTCCCTCCCCTAGTTTACATGTTCCTAGTATAGCGACAAACGAAGGCACCAACTCCCCCGAAAGCAAGTTCTTCTAGAGCATTTAAGCGTGAACGGATTCCATCTAGACGAGACAGCTGTGATGGGGGCTGTTCCCTCAATGGAAATGTGGGATCGCGGTAGGAGGGGACTAGCAGACCACTCATAGCTTTGTGCGTGTAACGATTCATGAAGTCGATGAAGCGCAGCGAGAAGGTGCGCACATGTCGCGAGCGAGTTTGCGAATATCCCCGACAAGATTTTACTTGTGCCCGCGAAACCATACTTGCTTACCTCGCTTACTTGGGTCGGCGTCATCGAAGACTTGGTAAGCGAAGCAATGAAAAGCATGGGCTTAGCCAAATAGGGGGGGGGGGGGGGGGAAGGTGCTGCGTAGTGAGTGCCCGTTTCTGTCTACTTGGCTTCTGTGGCTCGTCTTTTCTGCCTCCTACTTTTATTTTACGTAAATAATTGATCGATTGATATATGGGGTTTGACGTCTCAAAACTATTTTACGTAAACGCATCAACTCGCCCTGCAACGCATTCTAATAAATAGGGGGCGGGGGTGGGGGGAATGGAGAGGTTTGAATGTCTTAGTTTTTCAATTTTACTTGCGCACATATACATGCACGTATACAAACGCATGTACCGAAATACACAAAGTACCCCGAATACAGTTCCTGGCTACGCCGCTGAGTGGAACTGTACGAAAGGGAAACGCTGGGGGACCCCTCCTACCTACTTCTTCAAGTTTCGTAGTAGATTGATTGACATGTGGGGTTTAACGTCCCAAAACCACCATGAGATTATGAGAGACGCCCTAGTGGAGGGTTCCGGGAATTTACACCACCGGGGTTCTTTAGCGTTCACCGAAATCTGAGCACATGGGCTTACAACATTTTCGACTCCATCGGAAATGCAGCCGCCGCAGCCGGGATACGATCCCGCGACCTGTGGTCAAGTTTCGTAGTAGTAGAGCCCCAATTTGTCCGGGATTTCGAACTACGCCAACTGCTACAAAAGAACAATTTTTTTTGAGCAAGCTCTATATATTGCTGAACGAGTCAGGGAGACCACGTTAAAAATGTTTGCGTAATCGTAATGCTTTGCACTATCTGTATTTATTCATAGGACCCACGGTGGCCGTTATGGCGGAATACGACGCCCTGCCAAGCATTGGCCATGGCTGCGGTCACAACTTGGTTGCTCAGAGCGCTCTCGGGGTCGCCGTGACTGTCAAGCAAGCCATGGACAAGTTCACCCACCTCAAGGGAAAGGTACGCTATGGTGTCAGCAGGTACGAAATGTTCAAAAGAAAAAGAAGAATGTGATCTTTATGAAAGCAACTCATTCGAGAGATATTCCCATTACATTATTATTTTTATAATGGCTCCTTTCGCATAAAAATGAATCCACGCGTGAGAACCTAAACTCGACAACGATTACTAGGTATTGTTCCTGTTTTAGACAATACGTATTTTCCTTCTTTTTTTTTCAATTAGTATAGTATGGCCGTAAGGTACCTCTCCACTCTGCAGATGAACCATACGGTAAGCCGGAGATGCTGTTATAATGCTACATTATACTGAAGTAAATAATGAAAAAATTATGCTAGATCCGCTTTTCGTTCAAAACCTGTGGGCTTTGTTTACATAGGTGAGTTGAAAGGCGTCACGGTTTCTGCCATCTTAATATTTATCAATTTAAAAGATGGCACTTAATGGCAGTTTTGTGTAAGCGAGTACAAGCACATCTCTGAAGACGTGAACTGATCTGGGCATGGTCGTCGGCAAGATATCGTAGTGTGTGCGGGGGGGGGGGGAGCAAATACATCTTTTACATCTTGCTGCCAGTGCCCGTGTAACCAGGTGACAAGGTCAAGAAAGAACACCTCAGAAAGAATTAGTTGATTACTGTTCCGCCGTTTGATTAGTGTGTGCGAGAAACTCGCTGTTGCATGATGACTAACTCAGTGATCGATGCTGAAGATCGTGGTTCTTGGCACGCCTGCTGAAGAAGACAAAGTGGGCAAGATAACGCTGCTCGAGAAGGGCGCCTTCGACGACATCGACGTGGCCATGATGGCGCACCCTGGTTCCCAGGACGTACTGAGGATGGAGTTCTCGTCCAGCCAGAAGGTGCGAGACTTTAGGGACGTGAGCACTGTGTGACTTTATAATAACTAATTTGATTTGTCAAAATGCAAACTGATCTGCCTCGGTGTTTCAGACCGAAAGTCACTGCTTCCAATAGCATTCATCGCGTCCCAATGACCTTGAGCCACCAGAGCGCAGGTGCGGTCGTAGGGACGTCTTGCCACGTGATCAGCTAAAGAGAGGTGTCGCAGCTGTGCTAGCTTGGAGCCTCGCTGTTGTAACATCACGTGAGCAGGCAAAGTCTTCGGCAAACCAAATAATTTTGCTCGTGTTAACTATAGCCTTAGACGCGTTAAACTCCTGCCAAGCTCTTTTTTTTTGCGCAACTTAGCAAGTAAATTTCCACGAAGCGTACAAGAAAGAAATTCATGAAACTGATTTTCATAAGCATGTTGCCAGTAATAAGAAAAGTCCTTCGGATGGTTGTGTGCTCGTGATTACTCGGAAAATGATGGAGCAAGAAGGGGATTTACAATCAAAGTTAGCCTACGTTTCCAAAGTTACACTGGATGCATGTCTGCGAAACTGGCCCGCGTCTCTTTGGGCTCCAAGTCAACTCAGCTTCTTGTCCTGGATATGCGAGAACACCCTCGGACCATATTTCTTTATATGCGTTTGTTGTTACCATAGCGAATGCCCAACGTTATCCCACACTAGCAATCAGCGGTATAGCCTCGCTTACAAAATATTATTCAGTGTTACCCATTATCAGCGAGCATCCGAAGCCGACAGTATCGATCATTCGGTCAGCAATGTTGTCAAAATAAGTCAGTGTTAGGTAGTGCTGGCCGCATAAGATTAAAGTAGACAGTGAACTGCTCCGCTTTAAAAACCTCACGACAGGAAATAGTGCAGGTGAAGATACGCACACAGTATAACAGTTTTACATGGGTACTTCTAATCACGATCAGGTTTGGTAGGGATCAAGACGGTGGCCATCGGTCATCTGGGAGCCCTGATTTTGATTTGGCTGACCTCCGCGCCAAACTTGGTCCAGACTTGTTTGCACCTTTAAGCAGCAATCACAGTGTGATAGCGATCAAGAAATGCAATTGCGACCACAAGTGTCGGCTTGGCACTGGTATAAAAGGAATACTGGACGACTTAGGGGGTTTAACGTCGCTTCGTGCTCGCAGCTGACGGTGACGTACACGGGCAAGGCGGCGCACTCAGCCGCCAGTCCTTGGGAAGGCGTGAACGCCGCAGATGCGGCTGTGTCGGCTTATCTCGGCCTGGTGCTGCTCAGGCGTCGCATCAGGGACACGGACAGCATACTGGGCAAGTAATACGGTTTTCTTTGAGTGCGTGAGCGAGTGAGTGAGTGAGTGAAGTCGGTCAACAAATATTACTGAGGCTGTAAAAAACTGTGGAGTCGTGTGGACCGTGAGAACCACTGGGAAAGACTGAGACGAGAGGATCAGATGTTGACGTCCATTTGAAAGACCTGCTATTGGACATTGACTTATATGTGGGGTTTAGCGACCCTAAACCACAATATGACTATGGGAGACGCCGTAGTGGGAGGCTCCTGAAAGTTTGACCACATGGGGTTTTTTACCGTGCACCCAAATCAGAGCACACGGGCCTACAGCATTTCCGCCTCCATTGGAAAGCAGCCTTCGCAGCCGGGATTCAATCCCGCGACCTGCGGGTCAACAGCCGAGTACCTTAGCCACTAGCCCACCGTGGCGGGGCCTGGTATTGGATATTCAGTGACATACACACCATACCACATATCACAGTGGCTGCGATCTTGTTTTGTTGAACTCAAAGCATCGACTACGAAACTTATATCCCGACAGAGCCTGACATTAAGCTCGCGCGCAGCTCAGCAGGACCGACTATAGTTGACCTCAGAGTTTCCACATTAGCAGGGAGGGGAAGGGGGTGGAAAAAGGTAGATGCACGATGGTAAGGAAGTAGCTATCATATAGTTGATCTAGGCAACACATCATTGCTTGCTGCTTTTTCCGTGTGCTTCTCTTCATTCACGCTAATTTGACTGTGTATCACGGTCATGTTTTCGTCATTTCCCTTCCGGTGTCTCTGCATAGAAGCGTCTCCTCATTGCCTCGTTGACCTCGACATTTTGTTCCTCACAGCGTACTTGTATCGTTGCGCAGCCCTGATCAAGGACTGCGGCCAGTACCCGAACGTAATCGCCGAGTCCAGCCAGCTCGTGTGCAGCGTACTGACGCCAGAGCCCGAGGACGAGTTGGACACACTGCAGGCGCGAGCCGAGCGCTGTCTGGCCGCGGCCGCCCACGCCACGGGATGCAAGGCGACCATCGCCCGAGGACGCCGATGCAGGCTGTTCGCGCACAACGACGCGCTCGTCAGGGCATACATGACTCACGGAAAGGCAATGGGTACTGAAAGAACGCTGAGTAAGGCCTGGCGAGGCCCAATAATTTAGTGAGGGTCTCTCGGGAGGCCCTCACTAAGTTATAGATGAAGAAGAGCGCCAATATACCCCATGCCATTATTCAAGCGGACCTGTAGCGTCATTACACGCTGTTATTCAATGATAACGGTGGCCAAGCTCCTCTGACATATTGCGTTCGAAAAACTGCGTACTATACCCAAACTTTGGTCTCCGCCTTTTCTCACTTTTTGGTACGCGGAAAGTTGGGCTCCAGGGTCGATCAGTACGTTATGAAAAGTACGTCATCACCTCTATTAGGTTTTTGAATCCATTGTAAAGCTGCTTTCCTTTCCGACTCGACCGACCGCGAGAAAGATGCAGAAGGAGGGGGGCTGCGATAATATTGGCCACCCCCCTCCATCTCCACTAAATGAAGAAACTTCTGCTGTAGAGTATACAAAGGATTAGCGTAGTGAGAAACCAACGTTAATACTATATGTTAGCAGACGAGAACAGTAACTGGTGCACCACCACGGCGGACCATTCTTCTCGGGTCGCAAACGTCAAACTGGGACTCCGTGTAACGCAGGCGTGCCCTTCGTGGACATGGACCGGACCTATCCAGTGTACGCGAGACGCACCTGCGACTCAGCCAACGTGTCGCAAGAGGTGCCCACGCTGCTTCCACAGTTCGCCATCGGCCCGGTTGAAGCCAGCCACTCGAGGGAGTTCGCACGCGTCGCAGGATCCGAGGAAGCCCAGGCTTCCACAAGGGTACGACAGCGCTTCCCCATTGGCTGAGCCGGGGAAGTGTCGGAGGCTTCAGGCATAGAGTTTCCTAAAATTACCTAGAGGGGACTCTGGCGCTACGATCGTTCAGCGACCATGGGAATGATGCATAGTGCACACATTTGCCTAGTCTTCGTACTTCCGGGTGGCGAATCGTACTTGCGGCTTCGTTTATTGCTGTGTTACGCTTGAAGCGGTTCTGTTTTGAAAGAAAGATTCAACCCTTTTGAACTTCGTGACCTGGTTTGAAAGGGTAAGGTTTAGGGAAAAAAAAGGTAGGGAAGCATAACCGCTGAACATTTGCTGATTTTTTGTTTCGTGAGAAAACAGCTCCAAGCCGCACGAACACACACGCAGCCAAAAGCAGGCCAGAAGTACGAATATTAGACAAATGTGTGTACTACCCATCGTTTCCATGCTCGCTGAAGCGCCGTGAGTTGCAGCTCCCGTAGACACTAGTGCCAGAGTTCCCTCTAGTGTATATTAGGAAACTCCATATGGTTTCAGGCACCTCTTCTCTCTGGAAACTTCGTCACATCGACACGCACGCACGCACACAAACCCACGCACCGACATACACAAAAAGTGATTCACCTTGCACACATCGTAATACACCAGTGGCGTAGCCAGCGTGTGGCACACCAGGCCCATGCCACCCCTCCTCCCACTGTACCCGATTTTTTTTTCGTCATGGCACACATAGCGGGAAATCGCCATTTGAGGAGGATGCATGCCCTCCCTCCTCGAAAAAAAATTCTGCCTACGCCCCCGTTGTAAACAATGTACACACTTTGCACGAGCTCGTAGCACAACTTGTACCAAACCTCCAAATCTCCTAGTTTACAGGGTTTCCTAACAACTCCTGAAAACACAACGAACGAGCCAGCTATTCTTTCCTGGCGTTTGCTGCGTTTTCGAAAGAATTTGTGAAGCCACCTGTCCGTTCACATGACGTCAATAGAACATGCGCTCTCGATCGGTCCATATACGAGAGATATCAGCCTCCTAATCTGCTTTGCCCTGCACGCAGTCGCACGTCCGTACTTCCTTGTCTCACATGAGTCTCGTGCTCGACAAACTTGATTCCTCTTCGTTTTGTGCGTTTTCGACAACGGTAGTGGAGATAGCAGCGTTCAGCCGAAAACAGCAATATTGTTCAACGTTTCAAAAAAAGCGAAAGAAGACAACCAACCGTTTGTAACACGAAACCACAGGCCTTCTTAGGGTGGATGGATAGATTGAATGGATTGATAATGGTGTACCCTTGAGATCGGGCGGCGGATAACGCCAATAAGCCGTAATACTTAGTGCACCAAAAAATAGATATATTTGTTTTTCCTTTAAAAAGTGAGGTTGAGGACTCGTACTTTACAGTGAAGGGTTTATTTTCACTCGTGCCTTGACTTTAGCCACCAATCAGATAACCTCCTTCTAGATAATTCTACCCGCTTAAAGTCTATTTTGCCTTACTTAACATTTGCAACACTCTGCTGGTTTTCCGTAGAACTAATTTGCAATGCTCATGGCCTCCAAGATGGCGGGCGCGCAGCGTCGCCATCTCGGAGGCCATGCGACGCTCGACGTTTAGCGCTGGCATTGTTAGCGTGCTTTAATGAATAATTAAGTGACGAGAAGGAGAGTACGCGTGTAGGAAGGGAGATGAAGCAGAGAGAGAAATCACTCTATATCGTTTTAGAGTTTGGAGTGGTTTTGGAGGGCCTTCAATTTCTAATGGTTGACTCTGACGCAGAGGGTGAGCCTGTTGCTGGCTCTGACTGCTCTGGACGTGTTCGCCGACCCCCAACTGCTGTCCGATGCGCGAAAGGACCTGAGAAAATGGAAGGCGGCCAGGCAGCCGCGCTGTACCTGCCCCAGTGTGGGGGAGTCTAACTTGAAGGCCAATTGAAGGACGCTCAGAATGTTATTTTAGCTGACGCATATACCTATATCTAACGAACAGTAGGGAAGAATAGCTACCGGTGTTTCATATAAAATGTGTAAACTTTCAATGTAGATCATAAAGTTCACTGTTTAGAGATCAAAACTACCTTAGCCTTCTATTTGATATCTACGTTCGTAAATTCGACATCGTTCTTATCTGACAGAATACACGACTATCGCTCTATTCGTTTTGCTGACGCCAAGGTCGTGGGATCTGGAGTGCAGGAATAGTCGTGTGCTTTAATTTTATGACAATAATTGCTGGAGTTTTGCATTCCTAAACCACGATATGATTACGAGGGGAGCTGCAGTAAAGGTCCCAAGAAGTTTTGACAACCTGGTGTTCGTTGAAGTGCACTGACATCGTGCAGTACACCGCAGTACACCTTTTCGCGCTTACTTACGTAAGCGCGAAAAGAAAGACTAGAGGACTGAGCGCCCACATTTAATCTATGGGATTTCACCTTCATGGAAACGCGACCACCACCGCCATGATCGAACCAACGGCGTTAGAGGCAGCTGCTGCACTATCGCACCGAACTAAATTTTTAAATTACGAGGAACTTGAGCGGAAATAGCAGGATATTGGAAGGGGGCCGCTTGAAGCGATGAGCCAAGGTTTCAACAAGTGGAATCCAAGTGGCCATTCGTAACACCCTTACCCGATTGCTTAACGTTGTCCACATGCTTCGGGATCATCCATAATTGTACAGTGCTATGATTGCGTACCGAGAAGGACGGGGTAAAGGGTTTGATTCCGGCAAAACTGCTGCTTAGGCGAGTTGGTTCGTGTTTAAGATGGATTTCCTAACGCAAATAGACGTAACACTTGAAAGTACCGCAGACGTAACACTATAAAGAAGAAACACACAGACAGCGCTGAACTGGCAACTGATTTGCTACTTCAAACGTGGGGCCTTTTACGTGGCCAAGCATCAAAGCAACAAAACGATAACACGATGAAAATAAGCGATGAAAAAAAAAAAAACTCGTGGCAACTTCTTGCCGAATCACCTTTGGTTGATTGTCTTTTCCGGCAACCATTTGTGACGCGTTTTTTCACCGCTTCTTCTCACCATGTAATTTTTCAGTTGCTTCAACGTGCGCCATGAAAAGGCCTCGCGTTCGAGGCATTAGAGAGCTTTAGCTGGGCGGGTGAACGAGCGAGCGGGCGAGCGGAGAGAGCAGCGGATCTCGCCCCGCTCGCTCGTAAACCCGCTCAGCTAAATCTCTCTAATATAAATCAGTTCCGAATTCAGCGGTGTGCTTTTCTTCTCAGGAGTCTTTCTGCACTGGCAAATATATCCTAAACTATGTTCAGTTCCGACTACGGTGCATTATTGTGACAGTTGACGGAATTCCGTACTGTACTACGCTCCGGCGCATGACGCTGGTTCATGCTGAGCAGCTTCAGGACGTTAAGGGCGACAATCGCTCAGGGAACAACACCGAGCTTTCAGCGTGAGCTCGACGTCAATCAGCCGAATGGGAGAACTATGGAGCAATAGAAGTCTGGTTTCCAGTTAATTGAGTTTGCGAGCTTCATTCACAGCAGTGAGCACTGTTAGCGTGAACACGCAACCGCTTTGCCGATGGCAGCGCCGCGTAATGGCAATCGTCGGAAACATTGATTGCTTTCACGTGACGTCACGGAGGCTGCTTTCAACAGCGCTAGCTCTCAAACATGGCCGTCATGGTGGCGTCACTACACGGTGCATATTATCAGACGCGCATCAGTTTACTCGTGACAGCGCGATTGTAACAGATCATTGTAATATGCAAGAGTCGATTCGTCGATCATAGCAACACCGTATATAGTCCGTTGCGCGCATACTGCAGATTCTGGAGCGACGTATACCTAAAGAAGAACGGCTATTTGGGCTGGTTGTTTATATTCCATTGTAATAAGGGTTGTAGCGCAAGCACGAAAGTGCTACAAGAAAGGCAAGCGGAAGGCGAGGAACGGAAGGCAGCGTTTGTGTTGTCCTCTTTGCCTTCCGTTCCTCGCCTTTCGTTTGCCTTTCTCCCGGCGCTTTCGTGCTCGCGCTGCAACCCTTATTACAATGTACCTAATGATGACTGCCACCGTGAAATAGACGCAAAGAATCCGTAAACGGAAATGTGGCGCTCCTGCGACGTGATGCGAAAGTACTTGGTCCCCCCCTCCCTCCCCCCCTCGGGAGCATATGGCGCTCACCGGACGTGCAAAAATCGCCGACAACCATTCGTTCCGAGCACAGCGTTTTCGCCGAGCATAAAACGATGTCTGCACGCTCTCTAAAGCATGCATTTGAAACAAAGTGATACTTCCAGAAAAGAAACACGCATGCAAGCAACCTTCGTGAAGTGTTTCATCGAGACCAGGGGTCGGTCACCTGTGGCCCGAGGGTCACATGCGGCCCCCGGGACGACGTGAGAAACTCCGCTCTCTCCCTTGTGACACCCTATTTTTTACCTTGAAGACCGACATGAAAGTTTAGACCTCAAACGGTGTTTTTGCTTGCAATCTATGTTCGCGATTTGAAACCTTGTGACGTGCGTGTCGAAAATAAACATCATTTACGTCCCACTTTTGTACACCAATGTCGATTCGCCGAAATTGTTCCTTTGTCTCAATCGTCCCCCCCCCCCCCTACTTCGATTGGCCGTGCGGCCATCACCGTGACGAATTCGTGCAACTAGGCTCTTGGCATCGAAAAGGTTGCCGACCTCTGGTCTGGACTCCGTTGCTTAGGACACGTACGCCGCCACCTCGAACTGCGCTAAACAACTGTTTTGTTATTAATAAAAGTCGTGAAACATCGAATACGTGGCCACCCGTTTTCATATACGTGTGTACCGTGACACTGTTCGTTTAGTCGTTAAAGACGCAAAGCGGCAGGGCTGCAACCGAAAATGACAGCACCAAAACCCATTCGTAGGATAGCCTATATGCTTCTATAAATACCGGATACAACGATGTCTTCCTTGCCGTGACGTAGTTCCGAACGATGCCGCAACCACGAAGAACGCGAAGTGTGCGCACCACAGGCCTACGGGCTTGTTGGCGATCACTTCGGGTCGAGGAATACGACCGAAGACACGGCATGTGGCTATACCACGAACACGCTCGAACAGATACCACCCGAAAAGTGGCCCGCGGCTCACTGTAATAAACACGCTCATCGGGTGCCACGCCCGTGGGCACGCTTACGCTGCCCAATGTTACAACGAAAAACTATTGGACATGCGCGATATCACTGCAATCTTGTCGCTTTTCAGCTCCGTAGGCCAGCGTATAAAACACGCGCCGTGAATGAACACATACGTCATCCATCGCTGTTGCCTCGTGGAACAACTAAACCAATGATGACCGTAAGAGCTATCCGCATAGCATCGACGTGATATGGCACGTTCATAAGCGTGCGTAAGGTCCTCTGTATACACAAGGGAAGGGAGAAAGGGGGGGGGGGTTGTCGTCGGGTCTGAAGATTTATCAGCAAGATTGTTTCACTGCAAAAAGAAACAAATGAACAAAAATTGGCCCCGTATCTGCATGTGGTCTGCAAATGTCGCCGAAAGACGATAGTTTTGCGTGTGGAGAGAGTAAACAAAACATTTATTTGATGTTCTGCGCAAGAAAATCGGTGAATGGTATTCCGGAGGCGCTGCGTTAGAGTGCCTCGAGCCTGCAGCGGAGGCGAACGAGCGCATCAAGTCACGTCACACGTGAGACACGAGCGCCATCTGGCAGTTTTTTTTGGGGGGGGAAACAAAGCACGAGGCCCCGAGACGGGCGTGTCTCAGAGGTGATAAGGTGTAGAACGCAAAGCGACGGGTAGGGGCCACCACGGTGTCGTCTTTGCAAAGCGTTGGAAACACTCGCCTTTCCGTGCCAGCGCTGCGTAGTCAGCGCAGCGTGATAAGCGCTACGGTCCTTAAAATTACTTATGTATGCCTTTTCTAGTAAAGGCGAACATGCGGAATATATACGTGTTGTTATGGTGCCTGAGATATGCGCAATAATTGCTTTTTAATTGATGATCGCACACGTATGAACACTTATCCTTGAGCAACATTGATGGGTGCTGCGGATGGGGTCGGCCGTTCGGGCTATCGGCTGGTGCTGTTTAGCGTACCCGGTTCACGGTAACGGTGGAGAAACGGACAAATGTACAGACAGACAGACCAAAGTTTTTGCGTCAAAGGTCCCCAAGAAAAACTATCGTCTTAAAAAACAAACAGGTTCTGCTCACATCCGTTGTCAACGTGTCCCCGTTTAGAATAGATTTGAGGGCAAATAGACAACACACGCATGCATGTGGGGCAACACACAAGAAAGAGAGGACGACCGCGGGAGCACTCATTATACCCACAGTTTTTATTCGCAAAACACAGGAGAATATGAAGTTCGGTACACCATTTGTTTTCCCATGTGTTTTCCGAATAAAACCAGTTTGTACATAGTAAGAGCCCGTACAGTCGCTCTCTTTTCATTTGTGTTGTCCATTCGCGCTCAAATCTATTCTAGAATGAACCAACGCGCCCCTAAAGCATTTTATAATGTCCCTGTTTTCAGTACTCGTTTGATAGTACCCAGTGCGAAAGGATCCATCAGCAACCACCAACTATAGCCTAATTCACTATTTTCTTGAATCTCGCAATGCACTTATCGCAACGCAAGGAAATATAAGAACAGTGTTTAATGATAAGCAAGAGGTAGAATCGCAGTGGAGCAAAGTTCCACAAATAAGGTAAAAAAAAGTGTAATGCGCATTAAACAACAATCCCAGCACTCCACTGCTTCCCGAACAAACGGGCAAGCAACTTATTTGAACTTGTTCTAACTGACGCAAAAGAGAGACATTGTGATTATGATACGACGCATCTCCAGTTGAAGCTTCGTGAAGCTATACTAAGTGTGATACCCTGATTGAACATGTTCGAAACTGAGGAAAACTTCAGCATCCACTACCTGTCCATCTCGTAGCTCCGGCAATTCAGCGCACAATACATCGGGAGTATTTCCTGGGAACAAGTTTCCACATCAGACAGTAAGCATTCCGGAAAGTGTTGTTCATCTGTTGGTCTTCATCTTTGGTCTCCGGCGTCGTCAATGATGGTGGTGATGAGGTCGAGGAAAAGGAATCACGGCCGCGACGGTAGGTAGTAGTTCCGGCGTCCGCAGCCTCCGTTCTTTCCCTGACAGTTGACTGGCTCCAGGTTCTTGTCGAGGCAGAATCGAATCTCAGTCAGGACAGGAGCGTCCCTGTTCTGAAAAAAAAAAAAAGACACACGAGCGGCACTTGTTAAGAAATACTGACAGTCCCTTAAGGCAAGGCACCCGCCACTTTGACAGTTGACCCGATGGCCACGGGAAGGAATTCTGTACAAGACGGCGACATTTCGAAAGAGGCTATACAATGGAGGCTTTTCATAATTTGCAAGTGCTCTTCTCTGCACTGCTATTTGCACAAGTAATGGAGGCACCCGTCGTGATTCCAAACGGAGGCGCGGTCCTGTAGTTGTACGTGCTGGGTCTTATCTGCTATGCGCGTTTATGTCAAGAGAACCGACACTACATTTCGAACGTCATCAAGCGAACCGTGCTTGAACAGGCTATTTGGAGTAAGTGACTAGCCGCCATTACTTTTTCAAGCTGCATCGCAGGAAAGCAAACTATACAGTTTGAAAAGGTTCTATAAAGGCCCATCAGCTTACATAGGCCTACAGTTTTATATCGCGAGGTGGTATAAATTCCCGCATAAGCTCTCACTAAGGCGCCGGTCATAATCAGTTATGAGACGTAATTAAACTCCATGATTACCTTGCCAACGTCACGAAGAGCACAGGCGGAAGCGTTCGTTCTCATGTGGCATTCAATAAAGTACTTTGGCGCTCTCATTCAGTAGTATTCACAGTCTTTTTTTTTTTCAAAAAAGTGATCGCTCATGCTGACTTTTTGAAAAACCTTCTCTATTTTAGTGAAAGCACTCACTTTTGTAATAGTGCGCGCTTTGTAACGTTGTATTTCACGCTATACGATAGCGGTTGCACCTACTTTTGTAAGAGTGCGCACTTCATGGCGCTGGTTTGGATGCTATAAGGAAGCGATTGCGATTCCATTATTATGTACTTATTGAAAACTTCTCTCTAGACGTATATAGACAATGCAGCACAGCGCTGCACCGAACGGCCTAGAGATGCAGCAAGGGGAACTGTCGGTGGAGCGGCGAATTCACATTATTATTTTCTTGTAAGCATGCATACGTTTTAGTTTCATGACGTTGCGTAAACTATGCTACATCCATGAACGAAGGGGCCTAAATACACGAAATACCCCATGGTACAAGTTGGATAAGGTGACATTTGATACTTTCAAAAATAAACAGTATAGATATTACAGTAGAGCATTTCGAAAGGCAACAGGGCGGTCTCAAACAGTAAAGTATACAAATGTACATTTCTATGTCGTTATATATTGCTTGCACTGTTGTGTGAGAGCATAAACATCATGAGAGCATAAACATCACTCACTCACGTCGTATGCAACAATCGTATATACGCGTCACAATTTCGTTGTGTATTGTTTGCATTGTTATACAAATACCATGCCACTTTTACGACCCACTCAACATGCCGCACGTGCGTCTATCAATACACTTGCATACTTGAGTGACACGAGAGCACAAACGTCACTCAATTTCGTGGACCCGCCACGGTGGTCTAGTGGCCAAGGTACTCGGCTGCTGACCCACAGGTCGCGGGATCGAATCCCGGCTGCATTTCCGACGGAGGCGGAAATGTTGTAGGCCCGTGTGCTCAGATTTTGGTGCACGTTAAAGAACCCCACGTGGTCGAAATTTCCGGAGCCCTCCACTACGGCGTCTCCCATAATCATATGGTGGTTTTGGGATGTTAAACAACGCATATCAATCAATCAATCAATCAATCAATCAATCAATCAATCAATCAATCAATCAATCAATCAATCAATCAATCACTTTCGTGGAATGTAACAACCGTATACGTGTCACAATTTTACTCTCCTTCATATGTCAGCTTTCATACAGACGGTCCACACACTCACACATCCTTCGTGGGCCAAGCAACGATTTTAACGGACGAAAAGGAATAACCGTTTGCTTCGTACTTACGGTTTGTTTCTAAGCGCGATACTTTTTGACGTCTTTTCCGCGCTGCAAAAGGTAAATTCGTGCACGTGCGCGATACCTTATAAGTATAGCATTGATAATACACGATATTACAGTAGAGCGTTTTGAAAGCCAACAAGGGAGGAACGAAACAGCATCGGGTTCAAGTGCGTACTTACGTTCTTACGGAGATATTTTTTGTTGCGTTTGCACCATTTACACTGTGAAAGCAAATTCGTGCGTTGAATATGTAAGTACAACCAATTGAAATGAGTCTGGCAATTCATCCTTAGCGCCACACCATAGCAATCTCGGGCGCGTTAAAGAGATATTTTTTTTAAGAAATGAAAGATAGAATCGGTAAACACTTAGTATGGGCTACAACTGGAATTCCGTCATTAGAAGCATGAGCAGTAACGTTAACGTGTAAAAAAAGTTTAAAACGAAGTGCACATATAAAGAACTATAACATGTCAAAATTTCATCATTATTATTATTTCGTCTCTGTACACGCTACACTACATAGATGTTCAAATTACTTCGCAAAGCCAGTTATCACAAAAAAGGTTTAATGAAGATTCCAGATGCATGTGTTCATCAAAGGGCAAACCTAGGGCCGACTTTTTCAGGAATCTTAGTAGGCGTTACATTAGGCTGTACATTGAGTAAGGTGCCAAACGTGTTGCAGCGAGTAGACGTTAGTTTTTGGGTTGCTTTAGAAGGTTGCAATACTGCATGCGTTATTTAAATTGAGAATAGAATGAATTGTGTTGTGCAAGCACACTGATATTAGTCATCTTGCAGAATTGCTGGTCTTATAAAGTCATTCACGGGTTTTGAATATTTCTAGACTTTATGAAGAACAGTTAGCAACTCGTTGTCAAGTGTTTTTTTTTCTCACACCTTGACGCAGCTGAGAAAAAAAAATTGCAAGACAAACTTACCGGCACTCTTTGGCTGCAGACGATGTTGACCTTCTGCCGAATGTCGTCCGAGAGGGCGTTACGAATTTCAGCAGCCTGCAAGCGATTAGCAAAGATCGAGATTAGGAAAACAATCTGAATGAAAACAACAACAACAACAACAACAACAACAACAACAACAACAACAACAACAACAACAACAACAACAACAACAACAACAACAACAACAACAACAACAACAACAACAACAAAGTATACTCTAGTCATCCCGAAGAGAAGTTTGCACCTTGAGCGTACTCCAAGCCCAAAACTAGAGCCCCATTGACGGAAGTCCGTCTTGAACATCCCAATGAGGTTTTAGCACAAAACGATTTTTGACAAGGAATGAAATGAATGTGACACGCACAAACACTACGCCGATACTGCACTTTCCTAAGTTGAACGCTGTGTTGTCCCGGAATCACGCAAGTGAGGTGCGTCTGAGTGTTGAGGTGTCATGTGCGGAGGCTCACGCATAAATAGCCCTCTTCAGCTTTGCCAAGCCTTGCTGAACTTTGCAGGTCACCATAGTATCATATTCAACAGACCCACTCCTTGTGGGAGTGCCCCCAATTCGGATATAGGACGCAGTATTTCATCCAGGCTTTTTTTTTAATTTCGGGCTTGAAATTCTTTTGAATTTAAGCATAGACAACCAGGAGTGATAATAATCATTACTAGAGTTTAGCGTAGCAATGCCATCATATGATTATGACATATAGTGGAGGGCTCTGGAAATTTCTACCACCTGGGGTTTTTTAACGTGTGCCTAAATCTAAGCACATGGACTTCCAGCACAACCAGGGGGGATACAGTAGTAATTAATTCGAAACGAAGGTGCTGAGCATGCTGACTTTCGAAACGCAGTTCGTTTCATCTAAGCCGCGTCATCAAGCTGGCTGAATTCGACAGTGTCTGCTAGCATTTTACGCAAAAGTGAATGGTGTCTCATGGTTGACACTAAGCGAAAATCGACCTAATTTAAAGCAGTTAAAAAGACGCTTAAATAAAAGCTGAACGCCTAAGTTAAATTTGGAGAGAATACATGGAAAGCATGGACGAAAAAAAAAAGGGACGCATATACCCCTTTTATTTCGGTGTGTGTTTAGTTCTCTTAAATATTGATTATTAACGCGCCAAAACAGATGGATTGGTGAACCTATTTAATGTGACTGCACTTTTTGTTGTTAGTGGGAACCAATGAGCGCTTGAGCGGGGAAAATGTTTCCACGCCGGTTTTTTTATTGGACTCGACTCAGTGTAAGTTGTACTGAAATTCCTGCGTGATATATCATTCGCTAAAGTGGTTGCTCAAGCATTTCCGATGAAGGCGGAAATGTTGTAGGCCCGTGTGCTCAGATTTGGGTGCACGTTAAAGAACCCCAGGTAATCGAACTTTCCGGTGCCCTCCACTACGGCGTCTCTCATAATCATATAGTGGTTTTGGGACGTTAAACTCCACATATCAATCAATCAGTGGTTGCTCAAACGCCCAGCGCCAGCAGCCTTCGCTAGCTTGCGAGTAAATTGATGTGAAATATTTTTTTCTTCAATACTTCTGCGATGCTATTCGTATACGAGATGGTTGCATACAGTGACTAAAGCCTCCCGGTACTCACCGAGTACGTTCTGACGACACTTGGCCTTATAAGGCTGTTGGACAGAAACCTGAAAAATAACGAAAAAAATAAGTGGGGACGCCATTTTGCCAGTGATAGCCCGTGAATAAACAGTGACATCAAGTGTTATCTGAATAATTATCTTGATGGATGTTAGCGGTAGCATGCGAATCACAACCCGTGTTCATATGGGTATTAGGCTTTGCATACTGAATCACATAATAAAAAAAACAGTGGTGCAATAGGAAGAGTAAAATTCAAGCGAGGGTTCACATGTCGATTGTACAAGAAGCAACAAAATTGGAAAAGGATACCAGCGAAAAAGGCGAAGACATACAGTGAAAGAGAACAACCGGCTTTTCTCCTTCGCTAGTGTTTCGTTCGTTTTCTCTTCTATTGCTTTGAACCAAATCAGCCAGCAAGATATGTTAAGCGGCAAAATATTTGCTATAGGCCTTTTTAATAACGTCTCATGATATCGCTCAGCGCTAAATTCATGAATACCAGAACCTTGTAAGTTGAAGGCATTAGCTCTCAAGGCACTGAGTTCAGGGTATTAAGCCTATGTATAGAACGAGATTTATTTGTACTTAGCAATTACTGCGGTTGCGACTTTTAGCGGACAAAAAAAAAAAAGACATGACATAGTCGCCAGAAAAAAAAAATAGAAAGGAGACGTCATGAAACAAAAAATTGGCACGCGACTTTTGATAAATAGAAAACAGGAGATGACTAGTTTGGTATATACAGTCAAAACTGTGCATATCGAACCGACTTTAAAGAGAGGAATATGTTCAACATATCGTACGATTCTCTATAAAGCCTTGAAAATAAATGGAAGGCTCGGACTACAACAGGACAGATGCGGAGAATACGACACCGCTTAGTGCACTGTTGTTCCTTCAAGAACTCACTCGAATATGTTGTACTTCTTGTAGACGGCGAGCGTTGAGTTGAAGAATTTGAAGAGGCCATTCAGCGCGGGAACGTCACCGGCGCAGGTGCCGTGCTTCTGCCACTGGTGACGCCTGAAACAAATATAGAGCACCAAAATCGGAAAAACAAGTCTGTTTCAGTGTCTTCTAGGCCACTGCATGGTTGAAGCTTGAAACACTGCATCGCATACCCAACGGTTAGCTCAATGATATTGCCTCGCGTGTCTTTTATTTACATTTTTGTTTCATTCAATTTTCTCCCACAGTCTGTCCTGAATGTTCTGCACAAAGTGCACCTTCGAGAAGGTTCGCGATCATTGCAGATCGTTCTGTTAAGATTGCGTTCAAGTCACCAATGCTCGATATTATTACAGAGCTTGCGCAACGACCAGTGATAAGACTGGAATATTCGACGGCACGCGTATAAATGTCGACGCGCTTCACCGCTCGTCAGTTGATCGACGGCCGATGTTCAGTTCACCACTATCAGTGACCGTGTGTTGCTGTAATCTTCCCTTCAGTTTCCTGGCTATACAAGTTCGGTCAAATAAACAACTTCATCTGGACATCGAGTCTGCTCCCTTCGTCCACGTCACGATCCCGTGACTCAAAGTGAGCACCCGCAGTCCAATGGGACATGCTGAAGGTATTTGGTGAATGATGGCTGTGTCTCTACACCAGGGTTTTGTGACAGTGATTCGCTGCGATACACTGCGTTATGCATGTGGTTTTTAACAGGAAGGACGCTGAATCGTGCTTCAACACCGGGTGGCACTGCTTAGATCTACCCAAGAAGTTCCCCCTACCTCTCATATAAGTAGTTGTGCTCTTATAATATAAATTTTATGAATTGCCGTGACCTTGCCGAACGATACTCACAGAGCAATAACCGCTAACGTTCGACCTTCTAAAAGCGCCGTGTTACATATCGGGTGCAAGCATCAAGTGGTGAGCCGCGAAATCTTAAAGTGAATCTGCGATATCGAGCTCCTCAGTGCAACGCCGTGTAGACAGCAAGCTATGGCGGCTTGTTAGGACAAATTATTATGGCTTGGGGTCGTTGTGATTTAAGGGGCACTACGTCAAATGTCGAAGAAAACATTGAATAGCCTTATCAAAGGAAATTATCACCTCACGAACTGGCCCCCACAAAATTTTCTGTATCTGCAATGTGCGAGTGGGGTTACAGAGATATGTTGCACTCTGCAATTGAGCCGCGAAAAATGGCACGAAGGAAAGACGTTACATTTTGAGGTACTCATTACCTTGGCCAGTTTTCCTTGTTTTCTTTTCGAACGCACCGCCTACTTTCAGCGCGATCGCGAGTGTGGCAGGATACGTGGCGGCCTCTCTCGGCAGCCACTGTAACTATGTGGCTCCTGATGCTCAGATAAGCCAATTACAGGGTATATGACACCAATTTTGTAAAACAAGGACACGATTCCTAGCTGACTTTGAGAACTAACTGTGAATTCCAGTCCGCGTGCCATGCTCTCAATGCTCGGATGTCCCCCGGAACATCGATGACCTCCGATGAGCAGCGTTTTCCGACCACGCTAAAAAAAGCGTTTGGGGGTTCCCTTATAAGGCAATTGAAAGTGGCGATACCACTTCAAATTATTACGAGGAGTACAGGCTGGACAGCTGACTCACCAAAATGTGAAGTATCGTGCTTCAGCGCTCGTCAGAGAAGGCCAGTACTTGTTCAGATCTCTCTTGATCGGCTGCAGGGCAAATGGTGGAAAGGAAAAAAAAAATGTATATGTAGCTACGTCCATCTGACACCGTTGCAACAACGCAAATACCTGCACTTCTGCCGGACTTGTTTTTTTTTACTTTTTTTCTTGAAAGGAATGTTAGAACACCCCTCTCCAGCTCTATGCAATTATCTGAAAAACTTTACATTTTAGACATGTTATACCCATTTCGTCACCAGTGCGGCATAGTTTTATTCGTCAACTAACACCAAAAACTACACAGAGTAAACCTTGTAGGTAGGTCTACCCAACCAGTCGCGTAGCCAGGGGGTGGTACACCAGGCCAGTGCGCACTCCGTCCTCCCCGAGTTTGTGTCACCATGGCATACAGAGAGAAAAATTACCATTTTAAAAGGATGCCCCCCCCCCCCCTAAAGACTTACTACGTCCTTGGCCCCGTGTATTACGTTTCTTTCCGTACACCATTTTGTGTTACCTAGAGATATCACAATGATGCCAATTGGTCCAACAGTCAGCGATTCTGTATCACATAGCCGGAGTCGAAAATGAGAAAGAAAATGCAAATGTGAATTGAAGAATATAAATTAAGAATTTTTCGCTAGCACTCACGTCAAGAACGCGGCCGTTGAACTGCTCGTCCACGCAGAAGCTTGGCGAAGTGTTGTCTCCCGCAGGCCTGCACACGAAGGAATTAATGAGTACACACAATACGACGCAGTTGATATTTTACATCGCGCTTCTTAAATGAAATTCACTCACAACGGTGCAGCCACGCATTCGAAGTAGAACAACAAGAAACTTTCCACACGTTAGTGGGCACGCAAAGAAGTGAAAAGAAAGGACTTTAGGCATAGAAGGCCCCGTAGCTTAGGATGCAGGCCACTTTTTTTTCTTTTGTGATGTTCAAATGTAACAGCTTTCAACTCTTAGCTGTTTAATCGAAACATTGTCGCTGACGATCCTTCACTGTTGTTAGCCTTTCATTCGAAGAAATCCTTCGAGTGGAATGCAATTAACTACGGAGAACCATGTTCCACGTTGTTGCCATTCAACTGCAACGGATGTCGGCAGCGATTTGAAATGCTTCCACTTACTTTGCAAGAGTGGCGAATTCGCAGATGGCACGTGAGATTGCATAATCTTGCAAGATCGCGAGGCTGCAGAGGAGTGTTGTGTCAGCGCCTTTTTTAATATTACAGTGATAAAAAACAAAACAAAAAGAAAAAAAGGTTCTTTGAAGCATGCGCGAGGTTGCGTCCACAAGGCGGATGTCCCCCAGTTTTTTTTTTTTGTTTCGTTTGGAATTTCCTACGGAGAAAAGGCCCGTCACATTAACAGATGTACTATAGCGACCGGGCAACGGTACCATGCACGCGCGGTGGTCACGCAATATGGCAACGCACTTCTTTTTTCAGTTTTCCCAAATCCAATCGTGTTCCTTGTGTGCACGTAAATAATATACCGTCTTTGAAGTGACATCATACGATGAGAGGTGCAAAATGTGGGCCCACATGTTTCCAGAAAATATAGTTGCGAGGTATAAGCGCTTGCCCGCGTCGTTCGATACATCTTTCGCACTCTTCGCGAAGTTCTCCATTGTATCAGCGTTTGCGAGGACAGCGAACTGGGACGTTCGAAAGGAAACACCGAAAAACGAGGTACCAAACAAGAAATTCGACCAACGCTCGCATACTGTTCCCTGTCGCATTTGATACCGTCAGGTTCTTGTTTCTTAGTTTTCTGTTTATTTTACTTATAGAATTAGCACTATAGACACCGAAATACTCCATGCTTTACTTCGCTGGTATTACAGAGCCATGCGTAGTGATTCATATTGTTACGCAGGTGTTGGCGCCAGTGTCGGTGAAGGCTTCCGGGTCACGTAGCGGAGGCGTCCCGTATTGCACTGGTGCCTGAGCAGTCGGTGTACACTGCCGTTAGCCATAGCAGTGGAACCGATGTGACGTTTGCTGCGGAGATCCAGCTCCGACTTCCGCACACATCACCCAGCAAAATGATACGCATGCAGTTGCAGTTGAAGTTGCATACGCCCTCAGGCAAGCGATGATGATGATGATGATCCACGTGCAGTTGCAGTTGAAGTTGCATACGCCCTCAGGCAAGCGATGATGATGATGATGATCCTTGTTACTCTGGCGCACACCCACAAAGGGGGATCGGCCAAGAACCAGGTGGCAGGATCTTTAAGTAAAAGGCTTATGCGACATAATCGGTTCTGAGCCCGAAACACTTCAACCTCTTCTATGGCCAGAAGCGTCCTCTAGTCGACACTGGCACCAACACCTATACGTAACATTCTTGAATTTCTCATACAACGCGCAAGAAACACACACGGCCATCGCTGTGGCCTTCTGCGGTACACACCCCAACTCAAGATGAATTGAGACCAACTAGGCCGACTGCCGGTTGTGTTATAATGCGTGACGATCCGCAACAACACCGCGTGTCGTAATTTTCGCCGCTGCAGGGCAGCTGCCTGCACCCGTTCGCTACGACACTTGAATGCGCGCGCGTTGTGACAGCCGTACATATAGGAGTACACGCGAAAGACGTCACAGAGTTTCTTCTGGCTCTGGCAAGTTGTTGACGCAACGAGGCATCACGGAAGACAGGCCATGCGTGTTGTATGGTCACGGGATCCTCTTATTGGTGCCAAGTGAAGACCCCCGGACCCAATTGTGCAAAAAAATGCGGTTGCGCCAGACATGCGCGCGAAACTCGCACTTACCAGAGGCCGTGGATGGTCCAGTAGTTTTTCTTGCTCGTTGAGATGCACTGGAAACGAATAAACGAGTAGTTTATCAGTGCACCTCGGTCTTTTGTTTAGGCGTCTGTATGACATATTTGCCCAAGAATATCTTCGAATGTGATTGACCTTAGTCAGGCACAGTTAACATGTCTCAAGTTTTTTTTTTACTATCAGTTCAGTCTATGTGCAAGTGAAGAAAAATTGAATAGAAAAAGTAAATTCACTCAGCATTCGCACGTGTATTCTTTACGGATTTTTTTTTTTTTTGCGGAACGCAATGATTAGAGATGAAGTAAACGCGTCTCGAATTGCATAAAACGTAGTGACCTCACTGCTCATCCACTACCCGAAGTTGTAAAACGAAACTTCGCCCTTTGATGTCATCTGGCACAACGAAGATTATCGCCTCAAAACACAGGGCATTTACATCACTATGATTTCGCGTTCGGATAATTGAATGAAGCTGAGACCAGAGACTGGTAGCACACCAATATCTTTTTACGGCTAGGAGAATGTAAACAAACTATGTATACGAACTGTGTAGCTGAAAAAGTGTGATCTGCCTGTTGTAAGTGCTTCATTAAATTATTAGAAGTTTGATGAAAGATCCCCGTCATCGACTGCCATGATCGAGGGTGTGCTTGAACTCCAATAAGGGTTGGTTTCCATGCCTCAACTGTGATTATCAGTGTTTTATGAAGCAGTAGATTGCTTCGAAAGCCTGAATGAAAAATCTCTGGAACAGTGGGTTTATATATGGTCACAGTAAACATTAGAGTAATATTTATTTTTAGCACTGAGTTTGCACGCGTTGCGCAGTGTCACAATATACGAATACAGTGGAGCTATAACAGGTAAAGGAAGTGTTAAAAGGTCCTACAAAATCATTAGCATCTATTCGCTCTAGAGTGTGCTTACTTCATGGTTGATTCTGGTATGCCCACAAAGACGTGTTAAGATGAAGGAGTGCTTTCGTGAGGTAACCGTTGAACCGATTTGAACGAAAGTTCGCACTTTAGGCACACAGCTTGAATGCTAACAACGCCACAGGAGGCAGAATTTATATAACCCAAAATAAAGGCAAGAAAATTGTCAAAGACTGCTAGTTTTACAAAAAATAACAGCAAGAACTTTTTGGAGCAATAGGACAGCACCAGAAGATATATAGCTTTTATTTAAATTACTTTTGCAATGGGATAACAAAAGGACAGATATAGTATTTTTTCATTCTTTTATTCTCAATTTCGGGAAGCTCTGACAAGGATCCCAATAGTTGTGTAAGGAAATTGTGCTGGTAAATCACCATTATATTCTATGCAAGTGGTATTAGACGAATTTTATCGTCTTTTGGCGTATCGTCAAGCGTGGTTTACAGAATATATATATATCCTCTCCTACGCTGATAAACACAGAATCAATCGCCGATGCAGTTACAGTGGCGTCTTAACATTTCATTTTGAATTATCGCTTTAGATTAAGCGCACATATCACCATTCTGTGTTTCGTCTGTTTAGTCCTAAAAAATGCTTTACGAATAAGGATTATTTAGTACCTCACATGTCAGCGCTCGTTAGCAAAGCCTGATTATAGTCAACGCATGTTGAAAGTAACTTGTACAAATGCAAAAGTATTCATTATTCATTTTAAAATACATTAAACTTGTTTACCCCTCCCCCCCCCCCCCCCCCCCCCCCAAAAAAAAAAGAACCCGTTTTCTCAAACGATGACGTGCTGCGGGGCCGTGTCTTGCATTGAAAGTGTTGTTTTCCTGTATAGCGAATTTTGAGGCCTCATCATACATATTTTTAATTTTGTGTGTGGACGTTGTTGTTTAGTCACGCTTCGCTAAGTTAGTCTTACAGAACAGTGAAGCTAGTACCGTAATGCAGGTTCTATTCTACCATGCAGGCTGGTTACTTACTATCATATAAATCATTCTCATAAATATGTATTCATGAGAAAGTACCCGATTGTGAGGGTCACCACACCTTATATTACTCGATCACGAACCTTTTTTTTAATTTTGGGTAAAGATGATGTATTGTCTCGTGTCAGTGAATTTGTTTGAATTGTGCTTTATGTATATATTCGTCCTTGGTTTCTTAGCTTTATCCGCAAACTGGTTCCCGGTGACGCCCTCGTGCCCTGGCGCCCAGATAATGGTTTGGGTGTATCAATTGGAAAGTCCTTGTGAGCTTTGGTTAGAATTTCGAAGGCCTTCATACATATTCTACCTTTTTCGTAATTTCTACATGCAGCCTTCGAGTCTGTGATTATTGTCATTGGGGCTTTTCGCTCCCTGCCCTCCTTGATTGCCAGCGCGATCGCTATCTCCTCCGCTTCTGTGATAGAGGCTTGGGCTATGAAGGCACAACTTGTGACGTTTCCTTTTCGGTCTGTGACCACGGCCACCATGTTCTTTGCATTTGCCTGATATGGTGCAGCGTCAGTAAATCTCGCCGTATTCAGTATTCAGTATAGAGGATCCTACGCCCCTAGACCCTAACTTTGGTGCAATTCTTCAGTATTACAGGGACAATAGAAAAGTGTATCCAGCACCACATAAGAAACTTACAGCAATGGAATCGGTGGCATTACGCAGAATCCAAACAAACACATACACGAACTTACACAGGCTGCATGTATTCTACCCCACAGCATACAAAGATATATGTCCGTGGTGTGGGGCCACACCAACTCTGTTTCACATCACGTGGGAGTGTACGCATCACAGTGAAGAACACCACAACATGAACAACACAGAGGAACAATGGGAGGCGCTGCTGTCCAGCTCGGCCATTGTTGATCAGCGCTGGCTGGTCCAACGGGTAGAGATGATGGCTAGGGCCAGCGGAGCCCTGGAATAGGGGCCCGACCATTTGGAATGCTCCGCGTTATGCGCAAATAAAGTTTTCTCTCTCTCTCTCTCTCTCTTAGTACTTTATTTTTCTTACACGATTGGCTGTGCAATCTCTTATATTAGTAGCGGATTTTACATTTTTGAATCATTGATGATCTGTTGTGCAAGCTCAATTCTGGGTTTCATCCCGTTCGTGCGTTTTGTGCATCTGTGGTTCATCAAATGAAGGTAGGTGCCGTGTTGTGTCCGTGTCTTTGCCCGTTTAAATGTGCCTGTCCTGCTGTAGTCACAATGAGCCTTTAAGAGCTCGTCCAAATCGTCCAGTGTTCTATCTTAATGAAGAAGAAGTGGAAAAAAAGATGTTAAATTAGAGGAGAACAGGTCAGCCTAGAAAGCTGGTTTCTAAACCTCTACTGCTCACGGGGGTAAGGGGAAATAAATAAAGAGCGAGACATGGCAAGAGGTGACTATGGTATAGCACAGGGAGTCACTTCACACACTGTACCTGGGCGGAGTGGCATGCACACGAAAGTCTCTATGCATTAATTGCATAACCATATGCTCAAAAGACGGGATTCTAAAGCTGTCTCACTTAGAAACGCGAGAAAGTCCTTTGCGCTGCGTTCGAGCAGGAGGAGAAAAACTTTATTTATCCCAAGAGGGAGAGGTGTGGTGGTGGAGTGTCGGAGGAGCCTACCCAGCGTATACGTCTTCACTACCCTCTTGGCCCAATCCAAGATCTGGTCCTGGACCTCGGGCGCCGAGCTGCGCATAGCAGCCTCCCACTGCTCCTTACTATTAATGTGAAAAGATATGGGTGGTGGGTTTCGAGTACACCCCCACATGATATGGTCTAGGCTAGCTCTTTGTTGACAGAAAATGCACAAAGGGGCAGTGTGTATAATATGGCGAGAAGATGGGGTAGGAAACTTACGCGTCTGTAACTGGCGCCATGGTATTTCCTGGTAGCGCGAAGCTCCGTGATGTAAAGGGGGGTATATAGTGCTCTGTACGCGGCAGTGATTTGTTATATCGTGGAATGTCGAAAGACGGTCTCTCGCGCTGAAAAAGGCCGCGTATAGTCTAAGGCGCCATCAGAGTTGGACGTGGTCTACGCGTTCCGAGCACCCAGAAGCTTCTATTCCAAAAAGGGTCGGCTTTCTATAGGCGATCTGTGAGACACTTGCTTCAGTGACTGTTTTTCGATCACGTAATGAGCGCACATGCACGGATTGTGATGAATAGTGTTTAACGAAAGAAAGCCAAAGATAGTGGGTACCTGTGGTTCGACGGCGCATATTCCGGGGCTCCACTGCTGACTGAGGATGAAGTAGTATTAAGAACACATGCACAGGATGCGATGAACATTCTCAGTCTTTCCATCACGTAATGAGCGCACACGCACGGATTGTGATGAATAGTGTTTAGTGAAAGAAAGCCAAAGATAGTGGGTACCTGTGGTTCGACGGCACATATTCCGGGGCTCCACTGCTGACTGAGGATGAAGTAGTATTAAGAACACATGCACAGGATGCGATGAACATTCTCAGTCTTTCCATCACGTAATGAGCGCACACGCACGGATTGTGATGAATAGTGTTTAACGAAAGAAAAACCAAAGATAGTGGGTACCTGTGGTTCGACGGCGCATATTCCGGGGCTCCACTGCTGACTGAGGATGAAGTAGTATTAAGAACACATGCACAGGATGTGATGAATATTCTTAGTATTAAGAACCCATGCACAGTATGCGATGAATATTTCTCAGTCTTTCGATCACGTAATGAGCGCACACGCACGGATTGTGATGGATAGTGTTTAACGAAAGAAAACCGAAGATAGTGGGTACCTGTGGTTCGACGGCGCATATTCCGGGGCTCCACTGCTGACTGAGGATGAAGTAGTATTAAGATCACATGCACAGCATGTGATGAATATTCTTAGTATTAAGAACACATGCACAGGACGTGATGAATATTCTCAGCCTTTCGATCACGTAATGAGCGCACATGCACGGATTGTGATGAATAGTGTTTAATGAAAGAAAACCAAAAGATAGTGGGTACCTGTGGTTCGACGGCGCATATTCCGGGGCTCCACTGCTGACTGAGGATGAAGTAGTATTAAGAACACATGCACAGGATGTGATGAATATTCTTAGTATTAAGAACACATGCACAGGACGTGATACGTGATGAATATTCTCAGTCTTTCGATCACGTAATGAGCGCACACGCACGGATTGTGATGAATAGTGTTTAACGAAAGAAAAACCAAAGATAGTGGGTACCTGTGGTTCGATGGCGCATATTCCGGGGCTCCACTGCTGACTGAGGATGAAGTAGTCGTAAGTGGCGTTTGGCGAGCCGGCCGGAGTTCGCGGTCGCTCTGGACGCCTTCGACGGTCGGTCCTGGCGTCTGCAGCGCCGCCGCGAGAGGGCGAGTGCGACCGGGTGTGCGACGCCGGCCCGCCGTGAGGATTTCTCGAGGGACTCGAAGCACGTTGAGCGTTCTGCGCCCAGCTTCGCGTGCGTGCAACGTCGGAAAGAAAAAGGTTGCGTCAGAGGAAGCAAGTCGTTGCTGATCCAACGTGACGTGCGATTCGAGAAAGCGCGGGATGTGCATCACGAAATTAATTAGGAAGACAATTGGTGGTAGGAACGACCGTTGACTTTCAACTTGGAGGGAAAAAATGTACACGTTGCACATCCCTACTGAAACGTTCCGCATGCGATGTCCAATAATTCCGTATATTTCCGTAAGAATCTTACGGAAATATATGGAAAATATATGGGAAACATATGTATTCTTTATGGAAACATATGGAATTATTGGACTCGCATACGGAACGTTTCAGTAGGGATGTAGGCTAATTGCTTTAATGACCGGGCTATAGGCAGCACGTTTGCAATGTGCAGAATGAATACAGCAGTTATCTGTCACCTAATTGCAAGGAGTACCTATGCACCATATTTTCTAAATAAAAAAAGTCTTTAAAACCTTGAAATAAATAAATAGAAAAAAACTATATAACAATATTGCTTCAGAAATGCACCAGAAAATGCAGCCGTATAATTACTTCATCTATCTGAACGAGAGTTTCGCTTCACCTACATATACAAAAAATATAACTTTACAAATTGTTCTTCGTATGTAACTTGTTTACTTACTGAGATGTAAAAAAGATAGGCGATAGTATAACAATTAGAAAATACTTTTCAGGAAGAAATTATGCTGCGTAAGTATACAACGAATTTTGCATAAAAGTAAAAAAAATAAAAAAAAATTGGCATGAACACGTCAAGCTCTGATACAACAATAAACTTCCTTAACTTTCTTTTGACAGCGTATTCACTGGTTCGGTTGTCGTATTTACATTGCGCTAGTGAAATGCGAATGCATTACTGAGGCACCTATCAAAATTTGCGATGCATACATTTTTTAGAGAATAGCGTTCCTCGTATTAAGTCTAATCTCCGACTTCACCCTACGCTTCGACCTTCGTGCATCGCTTTGACTCCTCTGATTAGTGATTGTTGTGGTTCTAGGTCCCGGAAACGCTGAGATGAATATGAGTGATGCTGTACCCCAAAATTTCAATCACCGGGAGTTCTTCAACGTGCGCCGCCTGAATTTAGGCGCACTGGCAGTCAAAGGATTTTCGACCGCCGCGACCGGGATTCGATCCCGTGACCTTCGGGTCGAGCTCCAATATTACTAGAACTGCGCATGGAGCACACCACCCCCTCCCTCCTTTCCCTGGTTATATACTAACTTCAAGAGCTTACCTCTGGGCGGTCATCGAAGCCAGGACGGCCAGCAGCACCAGCGTAGCAAGATTCCGGCTTGTCAACGCCATGTTTCGGATCTACCGGGCGCGTTCCTCTCTCTGAGGACGCTTTCAAAGACGCAACTTCCTTGGTTATTCGCTCTCGGGCGAACGTCGTCGTTTGAAGGCGCCGTCGTCGTCGGCTTCTCGTCGATCCCTAGGGGCGCTATACGTCGACGCGGAATCTGCGAGGGTCCGCAAAGTGAGAGGCACATTACGAGAGAAGGGTAGGATGGGTAAGATACTTGGATAATAGAGAGAGAGAGAGAGAGGGTGAGAAAGAGAAAGAGGGAGGGCTGACACGAGTGTGGCGTAGAGAAGGACCGAGTAAGAAGAGAGTGAACGAACACATGGGAGGAGCTGTTGCTAAACGACTCTGGAGACGGCCTTACGACCTTCACGCCTTATCGAGAGAGGCCTACGAAACAAACACGTACATCAAAGAAGTGTACGCAATTGAGAGCGAGAGGGTGATCCGGTTTCGCCGCGTCCCAACTCGTTCAGCCGACGTCGAGGAGCGCCGTCCCAACGAGGGCTACGAGCGTGCGCGCAAATTAAAGACAGAAAGCAAGAGAAGACTGGGAGGAAGAGACGCAGCAGGCGGGCTTCCCCCGACAGTTTTCCGAGCACGTGCGCTCGTGCTGCAGGAAATGAATCAATGAACTTCGAAGACGGAACATCCTCGTTTCCACGTGGTTCCGTGCTTTGCCCTCTGAGATAACGCAGGCCTGAACAAAACGGGTCAGCCCCTGGAGGCCAAATTGTACTTGTATACAAGCAACGCTTTGCTATGCCCCAGCATCGGGCCTGCCCAAGAAGGACGAGCGCTGGCTCCTCCGTCTCTATACCAATACAGTATTGTGCCCGGCGATACTCAAACATTTCAATCCGGCATTCTCTGGGGAATGCCCGCACTGTGACCATCCGTTCGCGGATCCTTTCCATATGGTGTGGGCATGCCCCTCAAATCCGGCGGTCCCGCCACTTCCTTCCCCTTCCCTCCCTACCCGAGAGAGCTGGGAGGCTGCCCTGCTCGGTTGCTCGACCCTAGAGGACCAGCGTGCCCTAGTGGCCCGAGCGCGTGCTGCAGCAGAAGCCACAGGGGTCCCGGACTAGGGACTCCTCCTAGATTTTGTAAGGGGCCGGCCCTTAAAGCCGTCCCCAACTCTCTCCTGTCAACTGAGTGAATAAAGTTTACTATACCTACCTACCTACCTTGCTATGGTTGGGTCGTACTATGGAGGCATCACTTTCGGCGGGGGTGTGGTTTTGCGTGAATTGCCACGAATGTCATAAGGGGGGGGGGGGTAATGAAATCACTGCAGAAGGGTTGATAGGTGGGATAGTTGGTATATATTCGTAATGAAATATTGGGTGTGCAGACTAGCAGGACCCAAGGGCTCGTTTGTCTCCTCCCTTGTGTCCCGTTAGTCGGCGCTCCCGATGTTTCATTGTGGATGCAGTCACTGATAATGCCCAGAGGAAAGAAGGTGGATGCGTTCACACACCGTTATCGTATGTGTTCTCATGGCAGCATGGCCAGCGAACATTTCATTACCTGAGTACGTTCGTGCGCGTGTACTGAAAATTAAAAAAAAATCATGTGGCGGTGTTGAATCACATACTACATTGGCTACACCAATGGTCGAACGATTGGTGCTTCGACTTGGCCCCGCCATTTTTCCATCATGGCTTCACGAACGCTGACGATCATAACTCCGAAAGTGATTCCCCGCCTCCGCGGTGGTCTAGTTGCTAAGGTACTCGGCTGCTGACCCGCAGGTCGCGGGATCGAATCCCGGCTGCGGTGGCTGCATTTCCGAGGGAGGCGGAAATGTTGTAGGCCCGTGTGCTCAGATTTGGGTGCACGTCGAAGAACCCCAAGTGGTCGAAATTTCCGGAGCCCTCCACTACGATGTCTCTCATAAACATATGGTGGTTTTGGGACGTTAAACCCCTCATATTAATCAAACCAAAAAGTGACAGTTACAGAAGACGACCCGTATACCCTCTGGCCAAGAATGTACACAGTGAGCTGAATATGCTGACACCACGTGATCACGCCGATCTCACTGATTCAGTAACTGAAGTACTCGCCGAACAAGCCTTTTGCAATAAAATACCGAGGTCAGGCGAAAGGGCGTGATGCACAAGCTTGTTCATCAGGTTGGGGTCTCAAACATAGCGCACTGACAAACGCACGTTAATGATGTGACGGGGGCGCACTGATGGAGCAGATATCTACGCACATCTTTCGGTGGTCATTTTTCCCGGATGCTATAGAACAATGGAATTCTTTACCCCAACATGTTATTAATAGTACCGATGTACAAACTTCTAACAGAGAAATGGATGCTTATTTTGGTAATGGTTGAAGTACTGCCCATTCTGTTTTCCTGTGTTTATTGCTTAGTGGTTTTTTTAGGTGTTCTGTTTGTACTCATATTGTACTCCCTTCCTGTTATGACCCTCAAGCGAGGGTTGGCAGTGTTATTAAATAAATAAAACGCTAAACACATGGCGAACTACAGCACGCGCGTAACATGTGATCTGTCATCTGATCATTTCATTTTGCTTCTTGTTTGCTTCCTTCACCACGCTAACAGTGCGTGCTGCGCATCACCAATAAACATTATTTTGCAGATATCTATATCGCAAAAACGAAAATCACCTGAATGTAGACGCTCTTTTTTTTTCATACTGCCAATTTCTTCCTACGCTCGCTCGCTGTTGTATGCGCCATTACTTCCTTCGTTACGCTGCGTAATGAATGTGAAAATAAACTTTCACGGTGATACTTTTAGCACACTGGCAACAAACACGGACAAAGCAAGTGACGATAGGAGAGCCTTTTTTAGGGGCGAAGCTCCTTAGGGCGTGGGCTGTGCGTCCCCTGTATGTAGCCACCTCTAGTTTAGTTCTTGCAGTGTTCACTAGATGGCGGTACCGTCCCCTGTATGTAGCCACCTCTAGTTTAGTTCTTGCAGTGTTCACTAGATGGCGGTACCGTCTCCTGTATGTAGCCACCTCTCGTTTAGTTCTTGTAGTGTTTACTAGATGGTGGTACTTGTAGCTGATGATGAAAAGATGCAAGATGTTATAAACTAGAAAGCGGTACTTGTAGTTGATGAAAGACGCGAGATCTTATAAAATAGGAATGGTGTCACATATGGCGCGTGTCATTGGTTGAAGGCAATCGTTCGATTTAGTGCGGCGACGTACGCTAGGGGGAGCGATGTAATAAAATCGAGTGGGAAAAATGTACAGAGGATTCATGGTTTACCAGGTTTACCTCCGGAGCTTCGCCCACTCATCATCATTCACTTCGTGGATATGGCGGCACTTTTTTTTGTTTGTGTGTTTCTTGCACGCTACAAGTTCCGCCACCTACCACCACCAACAAGCTCATTCTTGCATTTTTTTCAAACAAACTTCCAAACCAGTCTTCGGTTGCTATTGTAGTCGTGAATATTCGCTTTTGCGGAACGGTCACCGTGAGGGGAGTAACTTCCCTTGCGTTCAGTGTATTTTCGAAGCCTGCTGACACCTATGCATCGAGAGGAAGAGATGAAGAAAGACAGGGTGCCTTATCCGTTGCCACCTGTTGCAAAGTAGGCACTGCTTATCGGAAATACTTCACTTTAACAATAAGGCCTGGTGTTGTTGCGCAACGATCACTGGAAAATCCAGCATTGCGATAGGTGAAGAGTGTGCCAGGGTGCTGTGCACGTGGGCATAAAAGCTCGTCTCGTAATTAAAGCTGATATAGCTCGCCCTAGCACTGATAGACGGCAAAATGATGCATTGTGTTTCCATACGAGAATCATATATACAAGATAAGCTGTGATGAAATGACTATCTACGACGTGTTATTAACAAAAAAAAGTTATGACTATGTACACGAGAATCATATATACAAGGTAAGATGTGATGAAATAACTATCTACGACGTGTTATTAACAAAAAAAGTTATGACTATGAAGCGCGCCATATAGTGGGAAACTCGGGATTAATTTTTATTTCGTGATGTGTATACCTCGGTGCGCACCTATACGTATAAGTAAGCTTTTTTTTTCTCGCCCGCCATCAAAAGCAGCCACTGTAAGCACGTATCGAACCCGCGAACGCAAGCTAAAGCACCACGACAACTTACCTGCTAAACTACCACGGTTTTTTGTGCGAGCTAAGTGAGTGACATTCTACAGTGACAAGAACAAGATAAGAAAGCGGTCGTAAAATCCGTGCCAAAAATACGACGCTGGAGGAACACACGGAAACATACGTACTGTCAGTTTGTGCGCCTGCGTGGTCTTGTTTTTCGCACCGGGTTTACGTATGACGCAGAACATACGCCAACTAGCCGAAGAGCGAGTGAAGAAAGCATAGCCTCCGGGATTAGCTGGTGGCGCACCGGGCCTCAGCAACAACGCACCGCCGGCTAATCTCGGAGGTCATCTGAGCAGCTAGAATGAACTCGGAGCAGTATGCTGCTAGCATAGTGAAATATCTTCGTAATGAAGCGTGGAAGCTTGGGCAAGTTGGTAGGACATAACTGAACAGCGCTCTTTTCTGTCATTGTGTTTTCCGTAGTTACGAAGTAACTACTTCTAGGTTGCGCTGTTTCTGCATTCAGTTATCTTCGCAATATTATGAATTCAGACATGGTATAATATCCTCGTAAAATTATGAATTCAGGCATTTCAATGATATTGAGTTCTGTCATTTCTTGTCGATTTTTTTTAAAAATTCCTCAGTTGACACGAATCACAATATAGATTTCAGCGGCAATACAAGTGCCACCTGGGACAACTATGGTGTGCACAAAATGGCGCGAGACACATTTCTCCAAACAAAAAAACAACAACAAAGAAGACATTACGCCACGAAAGCATCAACCACAACGACAACAACAAAAGGAGCTAACCGAACCGACCGATCCCACGCAAGCTTTAGAGAAAGAGAGCGATGTTATTCCGCAGTGCAAAAACTTTAAGACTTATTACGTTAATGCCTTTAGATTAAGGAATAAATGCGCTGATGGACAAGACATCGCCATGCGTTCATTACTATAACAATAATTGTTGGTGTATTACGTTTCAAACACAACGATATGATCATAGGAGACCTCATAGGGGAGAGCTCCGAAAATTTCGACCACCTCGTGTCTTTTAACGTGAACCTAAATTAAGCACGCGGGTCTCGATCCGTTTTTCCACCATCGAAACGCGGTCGTCTGGATTCGAACCCGTGACCTCTGTGCCACGGGTTCGTAAGCTTCGTGTTAGCGGTTGAGTACCGTTAGCAAATAGGTCAACGTGGTGGGCGTACGTGTTCATTACACAGCTATGCAAATTTCGTGGTGCCTTTACGGTGAAAAAAAAGAAGAAAAAAATGTTCTAAACGTCTAAAAGCTGTGAAGGTCATTTCGCGTCGGGATCTTCATATGCATGAGGATACTATCTAGGATATCAAAATGGTCGGCTTCACATGCAGAAACGTTGAAATGGGAGCCCTTGCGCAGCCGCTATTGGCAAGAAAAAGTGTTCCATACGAAATTTCTCAGAACGCACAATGTTACATTAGTCACAAATACAGCGCAAAACTGCTACTTCGGAGTTTCTCAGCTTGACCCGAAACTATGAGGCATTCTCGCTGGTAAATCAGGGGATGGTTCAAAGCAAATTGAGACAATTAAAGAGTATTCTTGTTCAGGATTAGAAAAGCGCTTTGGCGAGCACGGGACGTGGAGCAACTCGGGCGAGTGCTGCCTTAAATGCAAATACGAAATCGTGCTCACAAATTTGGTTGGTTGCTTTTTTTATGTCTAAGTAAACCTCTGCTACTCACTTTTGCAACTCGGCTACGCTTTAGAATGATGTTGTTGTTTGAATAACTGGCTGATACCCATGATGGTAGTGGACCGCACTAAATTGTTAAATATGCCAAATAAACAAATTACCAAGGTTTACGTATTATTAATAAAAAAAAGGGAAAGATAGGACAAGTCAATTATACACCATTTTAATACGAAATATTCAGAAAAAAAGGAACAAAGATGTCATAAAAACACTTAATACCCCGTGATTGGTAGTCGTCACCGTTGTCTCTGAGCATGGCTAATAACCTATTCAGGGGATTGGTTATATAGAGTATTGGATGGTACTTTTCATTTTTTTTTCTATAAGGCAATAATCTTAGGTTCTTTGAATAATACATTGATTTGAATCATCAGTTATCAGTAATAAATTATTTAAATCGAGCATAATTTAGCAAGGTATTATTCTAGTCTCGATTATAAATTGCCGAAAAAAAAAACGCCTATTGCTGTATCCCGGTATAGTGCCCTCCTAAAAAAAAAATAATGACCCGTTTCTTTAACGTCGGACGCAGCTTTAGAAGTGGTAATAGCGTTCTTTCTCTCGGAATCGCGAACCGGTGACGGGCTAGGAAGATGTTTCGAAATCTCGACCCTGTTAAACCTGCACTGACGTCACGCAGTACAAGGGGTTCTTACATTTCACCTTCGTACAAATGCTATCAGGGGGTGTCTTACCCGCGAATTTAAGTTCAACAGCCGACTATACCGCAATCGCTGTACCACCGATGCGGACTCGTTCCCGCCGCACAACGTATTCAGTTTGAATTCATTCTTCCATAAGTGTTCATATGATGATGGTGATGATGATGATGATGATGATGATGAACCTTCAGCTTTGCTGGCACTCGCACACAAAGGGGGATCGGCCAAGAACCGTGCGGCAGGATCATCAAGTGTGCTAAGTCGGGCATTCATGCAGTCTCGTAGCCGTAAGTACTAACAATAGGCTAAGAGGGTAATCTCTTTGTTGCCCTTATATACTCGCACACAGCAGAGAAAACCTCTCTGTGGCTATAACCTGATGTGATCCCTCCGAAGGATAAAATTACTTACACGTTTATTTTTAAACCTAGCTTCTCAATTGGTTCGACCAGGTATCTTTTCCTTCGATAAGCATAACGTTGACAGGATAAAAAGAAATGATGTATTGATTCTGATTCCTTGCAAAAGAGACACAACGGACATGCTGTTGGTCCAGCTTTATGTGTTCATATGGTTAAAGATAGTGCGAGCGCGACAAGCGAATGACTCTTCGTTCTCTTTAGATATCATCATCCCCTGTACATCTTCATCATCTGTAAATATCATCGCCAGTGTGATCTAGCTCGAGCCTGGCTGAATAAACCGGTTCCTCACAAGTGGTGGACGGTGCTTTTCATTCCCCCCAAGTCCTCTCGCCCGTTCTCGCTGGAGCTCCGCTCGGGTCGTCGCATAGAACCCCCTGCCATGGCGGCCAAAAAAAAAAAAAATACCCTGGCCCATCCAACGTCGCCATCCTTTCAGAAATGTGTTACATTCTGGCATCTCTATTCATATTGTTTTGTTTAAGATTACTATTAAGCTGTCTGGTCTGACTGCGCAGTTAATGATGATGATGTTGATGATGATGATGATGATGATCTTTGATATTCTGGAGCACACCCACAAAGGGCGATCTGCCGAGAACCGGGTGGCAGGATCTTCAAGTTAAAGGCTTATGGTTTTACAAACACAAAGTAACTTTGGACAGTTACACAGTTCTTTCAGTTTCTACTGTATGGGTTGTCTTCATTTTTTAAATAGAATAATTTACTTTACCATTGCGCAAAATTTCATTACCTTAATATTCAAATGTTCAATTCCCTGCCAGCCGAGTGTGGGCAGAAGCAATGTCAGGGGATAATCGTTATTCCAGTAGCAATTAATAATTGTTTGGGCTTCCCACCCTGAAAGCCATGGTACGATTGTGAGGGATGCCCCGTACGTGGGGGGGGGGGGGGGGGGAGGCTCCAGAAATTTTGACAACCTAGAATTTTTTTAATGTGCACCCAAGCACATGGCACACTAGCCTTCGCTTCTATCGAAATGAGTGTCATCATGATCACCAGAAGAAACCCGATTGTGAGGTCTTTGCCCTCGACAGGATTAGTTGAGCGGTGCCTTATCGGCGGAAGGTGATAAAACGACGCTGGCCTGCTCGACTCGCTCCCAAGAGTGCGACGGCGAAGAACGCGTTGCTGCCATGTGAACTCTTGCCCGCCGCTCTCGCATGCACTGCTTACGCAATCGCTGCTCTAATATTCAGCGGCGATCCTTGAGGGTTATCTATCGCTGGATATCACAGAGCCAGTCGTTTCGGCCTTGAGTAAGTGAAAGCTTGTCGCGTTTAGGGCACTGCACGCACGGCAGCCGACCGTATAATTATCTCCAAGAGCGGTGCATGCCGAGTGCGTCGGGATACTGCAGAAAGGTACTTAATTACACTGATGTGAAGCACGAAATCGGGCTATAGATGGACAGAAACCTACCGTACCGTTGGTTTAGCAATGAATGGGGAAATTGGGGCCATATATAGATTCATGTTTAAGTACCGCGTCGAAATTCTCCACACGTCCCGCCATGAATTTTGATATGGTTTTTTTTCGTATTTTTGTGACACTGCCTCAACGAAATTTCGTGACACCTGGCCCTCTCAGAGAACAATAAATATTTTTTTTCGCCAATCACGAACTACGTATATCGCGGCAGGCGCAGTCATTGCTGTTGGTGCCGAAATTTCAAGGTGACGCCGCCATAATAAATTTCCCTCTTGAGTGTTTTCTCACTTACCAAACGTCTTCTTACGGCATGCGTGGTGACTTAGGTATCGTGAAAGAGCAGTTCACTTGTTCGATAAAAGTCGTTTTCCTCTTTATAGTGTCCCTTTAAACACGCGGGACTTGCGAAGGTAATCACTCCACCGAGAAGTATTGCCTTGACGTATGCTAAGCCTCGCGGAACAATAATATAGCCCAGTTTTCTCTTGTTCCACTACTCTTAGTTCACAACATATTCAGTTGCAGGGGATGTTTAAACCACTACAATTAGTTTAACAAGCTATAACTCAAGAAAAGTGATAGGGGTAACCTTTTGGAGGAAAAAGAGCTCAGAGCCTGTGAGAAAGCCAACGTGCGTCATGAACACCTCAGTAAAAATTGAAGACTGGTCATAATGGTAGTCATAACGAGTAACAATTTGAATTTCGAGAAAATAGTGTAAGCGGGTGAAGGGGAGATATAAAGTGGGCCGTGAATATTGAGAAGTCGGCTATTATAACGTGACCACAGCAAGTACAGGTCAGGGTTGACTGGAGGAACATAGCCCTTTGACCTGCTGTGGGCGCAAATCAGATGATTATGGTGATTATGACCAGTCACATGCGTGAAGGGAAAAAAGTACATTGAAGAGGCTTATTTTCTTTGTTCGACACAATATTAATGAGATTCAACAGACAATAACGCCAAGGAAAGATTTCCTTGGCATGATTGTCTGTTAGTTCTGATCATTACAATTACATGCGTGTGATACAGGACGTCTGTGTGGTAGGCAAAACTTTAATCACCATTGGTTGAGAATCAAAGGGTCCAGCGATCTTGCTTTTCGAAACGCATTTATTGTTATCGGTGTTTCCCAACGAAGGCTGCAAAAGAGGAACGTACGTTAGAGCAAACATTCCTCAGAAGCGGCCTCGATCACGTGACCGCGATAGACCGCCATCAATAGACCGCGATCACGTGACCGCGGTTCTGTTACGTGTTGCCCAAGTGGCTCTTGACGTAGCGATGCTTGGTGATCTCTCACTTGTTTGTTCTTGCATCCGGAACCATTTGGTACACATCCGTAGTGGTTACTGTAGCGACAGCCTACAGCGGACAGTTTAAAGCAATATCTGTATGCTGCTGAGACCACCACAACGGCAGTGTACCAACTGTAGCTGGAGCTGCGTTTGTTGCAGACCTCGAAAATATTTGCCGCATGCTTGGCTCCGATACACTGCCCGTAGATGCCGCTTTCGTCCACGCGCTATTGCTGTTGCTGGTCCAGCTGAACTTGCTGCCGTTGCAGCTCCTCCTGAACCAGTTGCCGTCGCTGGTCCTGCTTGGGCGGCTGTTTGGCTTTCCAGTCCTGAAACTCCTGCTTGACACTCGCCAGGAGTTTGGGGTCCGTGTACAGGTCCAGAGCGGTCAAGGCGAGCAACTTGGTCGCCCTGCGGGCGCACGTCTGCGCTTCAAGGGAGCCCGCGGCCGAGGCGAAGCTCCGCGTGTGGTTGACGCCGGCGCTGGGGATGGAGAACGTGGCGTTCAGGACAGGCAGCGCTTGCGACGCGTTCCCCGCGTCCGAGAAGGCGCCAAGCGGCACGACGAGAGAGTTGTCAGGGTCGGAGAACGTTACGCCTGCGCAAACAATGGATCCATGTTCGCAAGTTTGTTGTACTGTGGCAAGGTGCTTGCTTGCATGGGCTAGTTGTTACTCCATTGAACAGCTATACTTTTAAACTTCAGGGACGAGATACGTGTGTGTCGCGTTTTCTTGTCTCTGATCCGGTTTGCGTTATAAGCAGTCAAGTAGTACTGTGGACCTTCTACGTACATACGTGGATGCTTTTGTTGCGACAACCATGGGAGATCCAAATGTGTTCGCACGATCGCCGTTCGGGAAGCTGGCGAGTGATGTTCCGTTATCCCGGCCGTAGTGGTCACTTCTCCATATAAGCAAAATGCGTAAGACCGGCGTGCTTAGATTCAGGTGCGCGTTAAAAAGAACCCAGGTGGTCTAAATTTGTGAAGACCTCCTCTACGGCATCTCAATCATATGGTTTTGGGACGTAGGACCCCAAAGGCCATTACTACTAAAAGACTTCAAGAACATATGTGGCACTAGTGCACTGCCATTTCGAGGTAGTTTTATTGCGATAGCAATTATGTGGACACTCGGCTGGATTGCGCCGCCGGCATGGGCGTCGACATCGATGTCGTTCACCGTATATGTATACGTATCTATATATATGAAAACGCAAGAAAGGAAACAAATTTCAGAAAAAAGACTCCGACGCATGGAATCGAGCGTGGGACGTCTGCATCGTGAATGCGAGGCGTTAACCGCTGAGCCACTGAGAGGTACCCCCTTCAACGTTCAAACGACAAGCTATTCATGTCTACCCCTTACCGCTGTTGTCGGGCATCTCGGGGGGGGGGGGTACTATCGTGTTTTCAGCATTATCAGCAAGATTGGTCACATCTACCACTAACAGCTGTTTGCGGGCATCTCGGGAGGCGGGGATTATCGTGTTTTCAGCATTGTCAGCAAGATGGCACAGTGAGTGCGCGAGGCTCTTATCTTTCACGCGTACTTTGGCCCGAGTAGAAAGTAAGGGGGGTGCACGCTCGATCGCGCGCCCTAATCTTGCAGTGGGGATAATCGTACGTCTTGGCTAGCCTTTGAGTTTCGTTGGAACAATTCTGTTGTAGTTACCAGGCGCACAAAGGTCTCTGCAATCGTTGCACAGCCTCCGTTTGCGAAAAGGGCGCGCTTTTCACACATAATGAAGTACCAACTGAGACGCTTATTCGCGTTGATTTGTACCCGTGAGTACGTTTCGTGCGTCCTTTGTGCTTGAGAAACGCGGGGCACGTTTCGATTTGCGTGCCATTCTGCGCGTGATCTTGCAATTCGTTGCTATCGCGTTCATTGCTTCACCTTTGCGGCAAAGCTGCGACTTCTGCAGTAACTACAACAGTAATTCGCAGTTAGCTTACAGACCCGACAAGCAGAATTAGTGTGTTTCAGGAAGAAAACCATGACAGAAATCATCTCGGATTATTATCTCGGCGAATACAAACCGCGTTTTGAATTGAGCGGTAAAATATCAGAGTAACATGTAATGTTTCTCTTCCTCTTGAGAGTGCACTCATGGCGTAACAAGGAATCAGCCAGCGAATCGATGCTACTCAAGAACTCCCAAGTACGATTAAAACAAGAACAATAATAAACAACAACCAAGCCCCTTTCTTCAAGAAGTTTCTCACCCATGTCACCCGCGTGCTTGGCGTAGATGGCGTTGAGGGCGTTGTTGTGCACGAAGTCCTTGTAGAGGATGCTCTTCTCCTGAACCAGCGAACAGTCGGTGGACTCGGCGGCCGCCTCCAGGCAGGCCTCGACGCGCCTCATCAGCTCGGCCAGGTCGGCCACAGTGGGGGCGCGCACGTGGTACACCACCCGGCTCGTCTCCGGCATGACGATCACGTTACGCCCGGACTCCAGCTGCACGCCTGCCGATGAGAGCAAGCATTTGATCATTACGATGTTTGATTGATGAATTGAAAACATTCGTTTGAAAACAACAGAGAGGTACAGCCATTCAACGGGCCCTGCAACGCTGCCGATCGCTAGTCGAAGCTCCCCCAAACACGTGCGCCAAATAATATAGGGAAGCCAGCAGCCGGGAACTGACAATAACTTTTCAAGTTCATCTAAATATCACTTTCTCTCCTCTCGAGAAATGACGCTACAGACTCAAAAACCACTGTGTCATAAGCGAAGCATCGGTCATTGGCTGATTTGAGCATGGCGTGCTCGTTCGTTACTGAGGCCGCCATGGGAGGCCGCGACTTGTCCACGCGCTCATGCGCGAATCACTTTGAGAAGCCGCGCATTCGAAGAAAAAAAAGAGAAAAGTGCTGAGTGTCACCAGGCGCACGTGGTGCATTTTTTTTCTCCAAGGAAGGTCTGGTGGGAGAAATCGCTCTACATTGGCGATCAAGATTCAGGGCCTGTACCTGCGTCGGCATTGCGAGGTGAGAGAGGGGGAGGAGACGCGCATGCGCAATGGGAGTGTGAACGCAGCGGGGATGGATGTCTAAAGAAGAGAATAGAAGAGGCCAGCAGACGCTGTCTGGGAGTCGCTCGCTGGATTTCGTGCCGACCGGTTGTGCGCCCGCGCGCTCCGCGCGCTTGCGACCTTCGGCGTCACCGTAGCTCTGGCTGACTGGGCTCGCCCTACGTCACCTCCTGTCGCCGACGACCTTCGACGACAGCGTAGCTCTGACTTACTGGACCTGCTCTACGCCATCTACAGACGCCGACAACATCTCTCGCAAGTGTACCCCGTCCTCGGACTCCAGTGACCGTGCTTCCATCTTTCCTGTCTCTCCTATCCCCTCAGTTTGTTGTTGCTTCTTCTTCCTCTTTTCTACACCTCTACTTCTACCCTTTTTATTCCTCCTCAGCCCCATCCCTTGAGAGCCCTGTGGCGGTGTCGCTCACTGAAGCAGACAATAACGGGGCTCACTTTTCTCTTCCTTTCTCTTTCTTAAGAACCACTCCCAGACGCTGTCTGCGTCGGCCATGCGAGCCGAGAGAGGGGGCAGTGAAAAGAGAAAAGAGAGGGCAAGGGGACGCGCAAGAGCAGTAAGGCTGTTCCCGCCGCACAACGGATCGAACTCCACCACAAGATGCTTCGCGTCTAATAAATACATGAATTGATGGGATACTCGCCCGTAATCTTGCTGGGAGGTTTGACCTGCTGGCGAAGGAGCGCTATGTTCACGTAGGACGCGACGGCGGCGTCCAGAGCGCTGGCCGCTTCCCAGGGACACTTGTAGCGGGGGCTGCATTGGAACTGTACCGTGATCTGTGGATGAACAGAAAAAGAACTGAAGAAGATTAGCTCTCAATAAAGGAAGCTCTCGATGCTTCAAAATTTAGACTTGCGAGAGAAAAAAAAAAGAGAAAAGCTTCATGCTTGCCCGCTTCAGTGGACGCGCTAAATTTCCGGCGTGTGCCAATGACCACATACAGAAAGTGCCTTTGCCTGTGTCTCCGTTCATTCGGCGCTATTTCTCGCCGTCAGTATGTACCAAGCCCAAATTTCGGCGGCGCTCAATAATATTCAGAATTCCTTACTCCCCAAGCATCATCGTAGCAGGGGCAGCGCCATGATTCCTTTACCAAGGGGGGATAGTAGTTCTTTCAGGGGAGGGGGGCTGAGAGGCGGGGAATTCGAACATTGTGTTATGACTATGTTCCCTCTTGGAGGCCACTGGGGGAGGGGCGCTGGCGCCACCACTGAGTGATAGGACAGGGAGTCCCAGCGGGATACTGCAAATGTCTGGGCGTGGGTGGATCGTATGACCAGGTCTCACGATATCACCACACAGTACCTGTTACGGAAACTCGTATACGCATCCCCTCATGCTAGGTTAAATCACATGCAAGCGGTACACTACAGACAATGACATACAGCTTCATACAGAAAGCCCTGACTCATGCACGCCATGTGCCTATACATTTACACTATACCAACAGATGCGCGTTGTGTGGTGAGGTTTCCAATCTTAGTGACACGCCGTGGGAGTGTCAATACCTAAAATACAGTTCAAACAGCACCGATTCATCTGTCTTTTCCCGCACCAGTCTTTGCTTGCGCTGTAATACCACACTTCTCGGCTCGAACCTGACAGTGACAGCACAACTTTGGGCTGTCTAGCAGGCCAAGGTAGCCACTTCGAGACACGATGTTAGAACCGTGTCCGTAGTGAGTGCCGATGCCCACTAAAAGGCACTGGAATCAAACTTCTTGATTCGGCAATAAAGTTTATATTCTTCTGCTTTATGCCTTACCCTTAACATTCGTTTTACAGTCAGCCATGTTCAAGTAATATAGTTGATCAGGACAAATACATCGACTGAGCAGAAAAGGAAGATAACCTTCGCCTTGAATCTGTGGTTTCCTTGCAAATAACCTAAGCTGCGTGAGGGTGCATCGAAAGAATGATGCTGTGGATGAACATGCTGTGTCCTCAATACCTGCTGACTGGCGGCAAGTGGCAGTTTGACACTGTCCAAGGTCGCCGGGTGTGCCCGAAGAGCGACGTCCATCTCCTTGAAGGCCCCTTTTTGCAGGAGGATCTCCTTGCCGCCAAAGTTCTCCTGACCGGGAGTGCCCAGTACCACAACCTAACGCCCGGGACCACGAGGAAACAAGAGTTAGGCTGCCCGTATATACACTCCAAAACACTTGAAGGCGATATCACGCTGCACACTTGGTGATTCATGAAGTATTAAGTGATTCATGGAAGTCCAATTTTTTTTTCGAGACAACCAGCCACAGTGCGAGAAAGAAGCGATAATTTACCCTAACGTTTTCAGCCTATTGCACCATCTTCATCGATGACACCGAAGACGGAGAGTCATATAAGTGGCGAGTTACATCAGTTGATTTTCACTCGTCGCGTGATCTGCTGAGCACACTTCATCTGGGTGATTATTCAAATGATAGGACACACCAATGGACTGATCGTTAGAAAATTCTGTGCTAGGATTCAGTTATTATCACCATGTCATTCTGGCTGGCTGCCTCTTTGCTGTCTACAATTTTATTGTCCCTCTAATCATGACATCAAAACAAGCATTAGTTTATGAACAAGGGCTAAACTCTGTCATGTAATGCATAATGACAGGCTGTTGCAGGATTAGCCGTAACAGAGCAATGTCATACAGCTAAGCAATCGAAGTGCATTTAGCTTACTATGCACGTATCCTGTGCGTCTCTACGTAGCGTCACTCTGTTGTCCTTCAGTGCGCCTACAGTTCAACATCGGATAGTGTTGCTTTTCTTTATGTGCTTCCCGTAAACTTGATTCGCTGAGAAACGCTCAAAAGGCGCGTTTCCTATTACTAAACGGGGATTTGTCTTTTGGCCGGTGGTCATTCCGCCACTGAATTTCGTCACACGGTGTCGAGAACTCACGAAGAAGCTCTGTCCGCGAACATCTTAGCGCACTCTGTCCAACATATCGGAAGCAAAGTTGGTTTCGTGATCGCAAGTCGAGTATATCGTCCTCCCTCACCTTTCCGCGAATGTTCTTGAATTCTTTCATCGTCTCCTTGACGGCAATAGCGGCGCCGACAGCACATTCGGCGACCAGATTGTGGCCGCAGGCATGGCCAATCTCGGGCAGGGCATCGTATTCGCAGATGAACGTTATCGTGGGGCCTGCAGCACCAAGTCGATCAAGGCTCGTTAAGCGTCTGTTTGGTGCTATGTAGCTGGCTTCTTCAGTCCGACATTTTAGATTATTTTCGCTCGCCTCAGGGATGATACATGCATGCATATGTACCCATCCTCAAAGAAGAAGGAAGGAAGGAAGTATGTTTATTTACAGAAAGGCAGAGAGGTCGGCCTGAGCGATAGTTTGCTCTAGCCTGCTACTCTACAAAAAATGATGACACATAACAGGACGAAGTGAGAGAATGCAAAGCATAGCGCTCCTTCTTTCCTTCCTCATTTTGTAGGAAAGTGAACCAAGAGTATGATATATAAGTATAGTATGTACAATGACAGCAATGTGAGAAATATGTAAAAGTGTCCATATGTGTTTGCATAAAGCAATAATCAATCTGTCAATGCAATGTCCTCGTATTTTGCCCCCTCGGTGTCATATTCGGTGTCATTTTCTAGTTTCCAAGATACTGACAAGCCTACCGTACTTCGCTTTTTTACTGTTGCCGAGTTTGACGGGCTAAAACAGTTGGCCAGGCTAATAAGAACGTATCGGCCTCTTTTCTAGCGCTTTTAAACGCCCTGAGGTCACATCAACGATACACCATGTTTGCGTACGTGTACGCACTCGGCAGTATAAACAGCTGCATCTTGCCGGTACTTAGCTACGGAGCAGAGACTTGGAGACTTACAAAGAGGGTTCAGCTTAAATTGAGGACGACGCAGTGAGCAATGGAAAGGAAAATGGTTGGTGTAAGCTTGAGAGATAAGAAGAGAGCAGAGTGGATCAGTGAACAAATCAGTGTTAAGGATATCATAGTTGAAATCAAGAAGAGGAAATGGACATGGGCCGGGCATGTAGCACATAGGCAGGATCACCGGTGGTCATTAAGGGTAACTGACTGGATTCCCAGAGAAGGCAAGTGGGTTAGGGGGAGACAGAAAGTTAGGTGGGCAGATGAGATTAAGAGGTTTGTGGGTATATAATGGCAGCAACAAGCACAGGACCGAGTTGAATGGCGGAACATGGGAGAGGCCTTTGTCCTGCACTGGACGTAGTCAAACTGATGATGATGATAATGATGATGTATTCATATGCTCTTATATTTCATCCTCTTTCGAAACACGGCCACCGTGGTCTGAATTAGAACCCATGACCCAGCACTCAGACGCGACACCTTAGCTTGCTAAGGTAAAACGACGGGTAGGGTTCAATCTTCACCAGTTTGGCTGC